TCCTCACACAGCAAGATGTGGATATGAGGGAACTAAATGACATCAGCTACTAAGCACAGTGCCGCACAAACAGGAGCTGGAGGGCAGGATCACTGAAGCGAGATTCAGGGGGACAGAAACGGAAAGGGTACTGGGCCCCACAGCTGTGACCCCAGGAGCAGGACCAGCCTAAGGGCTGCCAGTCCACTGGCCACCCCAGAGCCAGGATAAGCAACAAGAGTTACATTGTCCATCTGGCTGTCCATGGGCCTGTAGTTATCTGGATGGATAGACAGATTCCTGCAGGTGAAGGGCCAGGGCTGATGCACACACCTGGGCCCCTGCCTGGGCCACCTGTGTGGCAGGTGCAAGCCCAGCACTAAGGCCCCACCAAACAACATCACCTTCTAATTGCCCTGTTTGCCTTGGCATTGGGGCAGATTGGGGCCCATGTATCTGCCCATCATCTAAGCCCAGAGCCAGTTCCCAGGGCTGTGCAGCAAACTGCCCCAACCCTAAGAACAGTGCCCAGCCCAAGGCCAACTAACATTTGGCTGTGGCTGTAGGCACCTGGCCAAATCCTGAGTCCCAAAGCTTCTGAGAGCTGGGATGACCTAACAATCTGGAGCCCATACCAGATGGGGAGTGCACCTAGGAGAACAAATGAGCAGGCTCAGGCTGCATCCATTTACAAGCTGTGCAGCCTTGGGCAGCTGAATTTGCCTCTGTGAAACATAAAAGAATGCAAGAAATGGGGCTGGGAAGGTGGCTCAGTGGTAGAGCGCTTGCCTCGAATGCATGAGGCCCTGAGTTTGATTCCTCAGCACCACATAAACAGAAAAAGCCTGAAGTGGCGCTGTGGCTCAAGTGGTAGAGCGCTAGCCTTGAGCTGAAGAGCTGAGGGACAGCGCCCAGGCCCAGAGTTCAGGCCCCACCACCAATCAAAAAAAAAAAAAGTAATAATAATGCAGGAAGTAAGGACTTGCAGTGCTACATGAATGTACCAGAAGGCCCCACATTTCTCAAACCGACAGCCCAACAGAGTATTGGCAGGGGCAGGCCTGCAGGGATGGGAAGGGAGACCAGGTTGCCAGGCAAAGGAAGCAGAGGGACCTGAGGAAGGGCGGAGAAGAACACGCTCTGGGCCTTTGTCTTCTCAGAACCCTGACACCTGACCATGCACTGCCTCTTCCCTTTCCCTGCTCTGGACTGACAATGATAACCCTCACTCATCACCCCAGACTGTGCCCCTCCCATCTCCTCGTCCCAGGAAACTACCAGGGGCAGCACCTGCCTGTCCTAGGAGGAAGCTCGGGCCTGTCTCGGCAACACAAGCTCATCGGAAAGGCTGATGGACTGTGGGTCTGTGGCCTCAGCAGTCCTTTCCTTCCCTGTACCCGCTGTCCCTTCTGCAGAGCCCAGGGGCCAGTGTAAAGGAAGCTAAGGTGAGATGGGGAGGAAGCTGAAGTAGCCACTGTGGCTGGGGCAGCTTTGTCACTGGGAGCAGGGTTCAGGCTAGCCCAGTGCTCTGGAAGGCAGGGCCAACAGGCTGAGCACAGGGAAGGGGCCCTGGGCCTGCACATGCCTGGTCCCTGGCTCTGCGTCTCCAGACGTGCCAGGGAGGCCACGGGGCAAGCTGGCAGCACAGCCCGGGCCAGGCTCTGAGTCTGGGCACGAGACAAGGATGGAAAGGGAGTAGGTCCCCCAGGGCAGGAAATACAAAGCAGTACAGACAGAAATAAAAGCAAACAAATGCATCACTCAAGCAACTGAACATTGCTGAGTGTGCACACATGCACGCACGTGTGCCTGTTGGGTGACACATGTGTCCTGACACCCAGAGGGCTCCCACTTCAGCCTTTCCTGACCCCTTCTCACACAGCCGTGCTACACCAGTGTGAACTGGCCCCGCTCTCACCAGCACCCCACGCGCCCCGCCGGGGGCAGCGCCCTTCCTGAGCCACAGCGCTCTCACCAGCACCCCACGCGCCCCGCCGGGGGCAGCGCCCTTCCTGAGCGCACAGCGCTCTACCAGCACCCCACGCGCCCCGCCGGGGGCAGCGCCCTTCCTGAGCGCACAGCGCTCTCACCAGCACCCCCGCGCCCCGCCGGGGGCAGCGCCCTTCCTGAGCGCACAGCGCTCTCACCAGCACCCCACGCGCCCCGCCGGGGGCAGCGCCCTTCCTGAGCGCACAGCACTCTCACCAGGTGTTAAGCTGCAGGCCAGCAGGAAGGGCACTGGGTGACACTCCTGGAGTCACCTTGTCCTCTCACTTCTGGTCCTAAGTCAAACAGACCAGCGACCACCTGGGCCCTTCCCTTCCCCAGTGCGCACACCCAGATTAATAAACCATTGGGGCCCACACCATGGTAACAAGGGCTGAAGGTGCTATGGGTCATGTGCCCATACCCAGGGACACCAAGCAAAGGCTGGTCCCCTCCCCTTGCCTGGTAGAGGCCCAAAGTGGTCAAGAAGAGGCAGAGGACTTGGCCCTGGCCTTGCCCGGGGGCACTCCCTAGCTGGTGCCTCCAGGGAGCTCAGCCTGGCACCTCACTTAGTTCCTGTCCCTGAACCCAGGAAGGAATATGTGATGTCTGCTGCCTCCCCAGTGAGGGGCACCCTGACTCAGGGCCCAGGCACAAGTGAAATGCAGAGAACAGCTCGGCTTGGGGTATCTCAACAGACATAGCTAGGGAGGAGCGGGGCAGGAAGAGGAGGTCTACCCCGTTAAGCTGTCAGCGTGCTGCACTTACAGACTGGATACGAGGACGGGCGCCAGGGGAAGGAGCTGCAAAGCCTGAAGCAGTCTGAGGGCAACACCCCACCTCTGCTTTCAAGCTGCAATCATCAGTGCGTGGCCACCGGACTCAACTTCCTTGAGGGGCTGAGAGACTGGACCTACCTTACCACATGTCCAGAGGCTTGAGACAGGAAAGGGGCTGCTGGCTTTGTCTGGTGTCCCTCAGTGCTTCTGTTCAAAGATGTGGGCATGGGGAGAAGTTGTGGAGTCTCTACATCAACTTCTACCCCTGCCCAGATACCAAGGCTCAGGCAGCCCTGGTACCTGTCACAGACCTGAGTGGCCACCGTGTCAGCAGCCTGTTTGATGGTGGAGGGCCACCAGAAAGCAGCCTCATAGACACCAAGAGCAAGGTGTGAAAACACTGTGTTCAGGCTGGGGCCACAACAGGGACAGCAACACCTTATTAGCTTTGGTGACTGCAGTTCCGCAGGCCTGGGAAGCTTCTGGAGATGCCAGGCCAACACCAAGTGTCCAAAGTATGACAATGAAGCTCAGGCAAGGAGCTGGTGGCTCATGCCTGTAATCCCAGCTGTTCAGGGCTGAGATCTGAGGATCGTGGAAGAAAAGTTCATGAGAATCTTATTTCTAATAAACCAACAAAAAAGCCAGAAGAGAAGCTGTGGCTCAAGTGGTAAGAACACCAGCCTTGGGTGAAAAACCCAGTAAGTGAGAGGCCCTGAGTTCAAGACCCAGTACTGGCATGTGAACGTGCACACACACAGTTCAATCTAGAAGGGAATCTCCCCCAGTAGAGCCCGCATGTAGCTGGCAGGTGCAGGCCACTTTTATCAGGGAAAGGCTCTAATTGACTCCCCACCCGGATGTGATAAATGCTGATGCCACCCCTCCCCAGCCTAAACTCTCTTGAGACCACCGGAAGTGGGGACAGTGGACATAGAGAAGGAATGGACATGCTGAGCCTTCCTTGCCAGACACCCTCAGGCTGCTCCTGAGACATGGAGCTTGAAGGAAAAGGCAGAAGTTACACAGAAAGAAACTGGTGCCACAAGGCCCTGCTGTGGCAGGCCTCCCACCTTCCGGCCCTGAGTGATCTCTATTTCTGTATCGCCAGCGGGGAGACTGCAGGGCACAGCAAGCGGAGTGGGACCTGGACCAGGCAGGGACTCAGACCTTACCACCAGGCTGCCATGGGGGGGGGGGGCTGGGGGAGGCATGTCATTCCTCCTGAGTCCAGGCCCCCAGCATAACCCCAAGTGCATTCGTGCTCCTGGGCACACTGCTCTGGTCTGTCAGGGCTTCCAGCCGGGCCCCACAACAAATTCTTTGTCTCTACTGAGTCCAAGCACCATGCATCTGCCTGTGGCGGCTGCTGCTGGCCAAGTCAGGAAGTGATATGGAGCTGGCTGGGCAAGTCTTCCACAGGGACCTGAGCCCCAAGCCCTAGATGGTCTGGCCCACGGAGTGAGCCGTGCGAGCTGGCCACCACTGATGACCCTACTGCATAGTGGCCCCCAAGAACAGACACATAGTCACAAACCTTCCTCCCTAGAAGAAAGGATACCAGGCCACCTTCTGCTGACCTGGAGAGATCTTAGGAGCCCCACAAAGCTAGATGACTGGCTTGAGACCAGAATGCAGCTTCAGAAACACAAAACTGTCAGTTCTGAGACTCTGGTTTGACCCTTTTACGCAAGGCTGCAGAGGCCACAGGTAAGAACACGCTAAGCAGCAGGCAGTGTGCACGGAACCTACCCTCCTTCTTCTGACTCCAAGTCTACCCTATGTTTACCACTTTACAGACAACCAAGAAGTAAGCTTCCCAAATGGCGGCCTGCAGGACAAATGCTCTCAAGCCTGTATGGAAGAGAAAGACCAGGCTGGCTTCACTGAACTCCCCTTCAGCTAGAAAACCATCAGGCTTCAACTGAGCTCCCCTTCAGCTAGAAAACCATCAGACCTCTACTGACTTTTGAGTTCAGTGCCTAAGACCCAAAAGTAAAAGTTTTTTTTTTTTTTTTTGGGTGGGAAGGGCAAAATCACAGCTATGAAATGCAACGCCCCAACTTGCCTGCTCCATGAGATGCTGCGAGTCCAAACCACATCTTCCAGGAGCACTGCAACAAAGCAGAGGTGTGTGTGTGTCCACTTGTGTGTGTGTGTGTGTGTGTGTGTCCACTTGTGTGTGTGTGTGTCCAACTTGGTCCCACCAGAGCCTTAGGCCTGTACCATCAGGTGGGCCAGGCAGCAGCCAACACCTCCTTTTCCACTGTGTATTAAGTCATTCGTTTATTTCTCAAGATGTGCACACTCAAGTATCACGCTGGCCAGGACAACTCACGGCTCCTAGGTATATACAGGTCCTTCGAGGCTTGGTTACAGACAACTTCGTCGCTAGTGCACCACACACACGAGGTAAACCAGGAAGCCTAAACCCCCACACCACTCCAAGAAAATGAGAGGGAGGGGGTAAGAATGCAGCATCCTGTGGGGGAATCTGCACGAGGAGGGAAGAGAGGGTGGAAGGCAAGCTAGCTTCAATCTCCGTCGAGCGGTTTCTGTGGGTGTTCAGGGGACCGAGTTCAACAGGTCCTTCAGGAAGTTCTCTGGGTCAGTGACTTCTGACAGAAGACCTAGAAGACACAGCAGCAGAGGTGGGTAGGAGCAGCTTGCACGGATGATGGCAGTGACTGCAAATCACGAGGCAACGAGCATCTGTGGATGGGAACAAGGTGGCGGAGGCCAACTGGGCACTCCAGAGTGAGGCCACTGCAGGGGCTGCAAACCCATAGTAGCTGTGACTTCTGAAGGGGTCTGGGAATGAAGAAAGGCGCATGTGACTGATTTGATGGGCAGAACGGGATAGCGGGCCCCTGGGCTCTTCTGGCTTCAATCCCATCACTAGACCTGGCGCTCAAGCAAGTTGCCAGAGCTCAAGAGCCATTTTCTCTCGGCTAGCAGAGGAAGCGGGAAGCCCCCTGCCTGCTGCAGGGACTAAATGAGGTCCTCCATGCAGAAGGGCCCAGTGCCCAGATGGTGCAACATCCATGCCAGTTCTCTGGTAGCCTGTCTGCCCTCAGCAAGTAAGGCAAAGGAGACACGAAGGCCTCAGGTTGACGGATGTGGAGCTGCTGACCCCAAAGGTCAGGTACCATCCCACACACAGACACCGCCAAGCATCCGTGCAGACGGAGGAAGTGTGGCCTAGACAGTTTGCTGGCTTTGGAAGGTGTTTTTTGTTCCTGAATTTGAATAGGGTGTGTCTGCTTCTGAGAGTTTCTAACAACTTAAAGTAATGAAGTCATGCTATAAAAGCCTGACCCAGGAGTAGAAGACAGAGGCTCCCTGCTGCAGGACAGCACAGGGCAAAGGCCAGGCCTGCAGGGAGATGAGCCCTTCCTCTCCTGTCCGCCTTTTCTTCCTACTAGCTCTGACTTGCATAGCCATTTTGACATGGCTGTGAGTGGACAGGCTCAGGGCTTGGCGCTGAGGACACAGAGAGAAAAACAAGACAGGCTACCTGCTCTCAGCCATGGCTTCTTTCTTGGATGAGAGCAAGTGTGCATTCATATACACTGGTGCTGAAAGGACAGGTAAGAGCCGTAAGGACTTGGCAAGGTAACAGAGAGAGAGGTGAGCAAGGCTGCATGTGGCACCAGAGAGCAAGGTAGTCACCTGGCTGCGCACAGCTCTTAAACAGAGGTGGCAGCTACCCTTGAGGTCCCCGCGAACAACAGCCTACCGAAGGCCCCAGAGCTTTGGGAGAGAAATTGCTCAGCTGGACCTGGCCTGGGAGGAATTCACACAGTGTAGCATCTGAGACCTTTAGTGAATCTCATTCCCAGAGTCTAAAGAGAGAAACTGTTACTGGAGGTGTTCTCCTGGTAATGGAATCTGGGGCTTTCTGTCCATCTTTACACTTTACACAAGCCCCACAAGGAGCATGAGAAAGTAGAGAAGCAGTAAGTCAAGCTAAAAGAAAGAACTCAACAGCTTGGATTACTTCCACTATGGCTCAGGGTAGCAACTGTCCCTTTTTTAAGGTCAGTCCTAACAGGTGTCATGACACAAAGTGCCCACGGCCTGAGAAGGCACAGAATCTGTTGTCTTGATGGATTTTTCCCAGGCCTGGGCCTAAGTCACCTCCCCCTGCTGTCAGCTTATGTATGAGATCCAAATAAATCTTAAAAACTAGGTTGTTGTAGGAAGAGTTTGTACACAGAAGAGAACAATGGTCTTCAGTTTTGCTGTGGGATGAACTATCTGCTTCTGGAATGACAACCATTCAAAGTGTGGCTCTATACATACACACAGAGATGTTCTCTGCTCTGACTGGTATTTATCATCTACTTAAAATCTTCCATGTCCCCTTGGAACACAGGTGGCATAAGAGGTCTCTGTCCATAAGCAGCAGGAGGTAGACAGGTGTGCTCCCTTGTACGTGCTAATGCTCTGAACTGCCACTAAAACCCAGAAAGCAAAAGGGGTCCTAGCACTTCCTGGCTATGTGCCCCTGGCCTTCAGAGCCTATTGGTGGGCTAAGCAGCTGCTGGCTCTTCCTGGGAGACCATGAGCATGCAGCACATGCCAGAGCCGTTATTCTCTGGGGATGCTGGTGGTAGCTGCTTTGCGCTGAGGATGAAGCTACCGCCAGCTCCTCTGAGACAGTCATGGAGGTCTGTCACAGAGATCTTTAAAAGATAAAAGCTGACACTGACCAGCTGCGTCGAAGAACTCTGGGAAGGCCTCCACTGGCATGAACTCCTCCTGGAAGGTTTTCAGGGCTCTGTCGGCGGCTTCGTAGATGGGCATGTCGTTGTGGCGGATGTACTCAGCCAGAGAGCAGGACCAGCCGCCCTCTGTGTTACTGGTAGGCACCTTCTACAAAAGCCAGCAGGAGACAAACTTAGGTGGGTCATCAAATGTACCTGGCCTCTGGCTCCTATGGCTCAGGCCATTTTTCAGCACCCTGGAAAAAGCTCACCCAACTTCTAGCATAACTTCCCCAGAAGGCGAGCTCTACCTCCAGGACCCACAGGCTATCATCCTTCACAGAGCCCTTGATTATACACCTTATACACCGTGCCACCTCAACCTATCAACTCCAACACTGGGCTGGGTTCTTTTCTCCCCACACATTCCATTTCTGCATTTCCAAAGCTCTTACTCTCAGATGGTAAAACAGGATCCACTCAAACACTTTTTTTTTGGGTCAATCATGAGGCTTGAACTTGGGGCTTGGGTGCTATTCCCGAGCTCTTTTGCTCAAAGCTACTGCTGTATCACTTTGAGCCACAGTGCCACTCCTGGTTTTCTGGTGGATAACTGGAGATAAAAGTCTCATGGACTTTCCTGCCTGGGCTGGCTTCGAACCACAGTCCCCATATCTCAGCCTCCTGAGTAGTTAGAATTACAGGCATAAGCCATCAGCTCTTGGCCAAACACTCTTTTGAAGGCACAAAGGAGCACCCTGTTGTAATAAGCAGGGCTTAGGTCACACTCACACAGAGAGCAAGGAAGGCAGACTGGGAGGCAGTTCCCTGCACAAGTGTGTTTTGATCTTGCCACAAGCTTGACAGTGCAGGAGAGAAGTAAATGTTGGCTGCAATGCTCAGCCCAGAGGTGCAGGTCCGGATTGGGAGTACAAACTCTCCCCTCCGGAGGGGCTATTTGCTTCTAGGAAGCAAAGTACGCTAGGCTAGGAGGAGCAACCACTGGGGGGGGGGGGGGGGGCTGAGCCAGGGTAAGGGCCAAGGGAGCAGGCATCTTAAACCCTTACACAAGCCAGCTGGTCCCTAAGGGATTCCTTACCTTAAACATGTTGTAAATGAGATCGACGAGGGCCCAAAAGAGAAGGGAAGAGCGATAAACAGAATAATCCTTCACTGCTTTATCTGTCAGCCTGAAAGAAAATTTTAAAAAGTCATCCCATCAAATTCCTCGGAGAGGACACTAGTATCCAGGGACCAAGGGACTGTCACATAACCGATGTCTCACATGCCTTAAGATCCATGCCAACAAGCCTACTTTCTTAGAAAAAGAGCAGCTATGGGTAAGAAAGTCCAGGCTCTGGGTCCCAGAGGTTTATTCATAAACTTCAGTTTCATAAACTTCATCTGTCTTAACAGTATCTTCCAAACAAGGGTTCAACATGGCATTCGAAAGACTGTCAACATAAAGAAAGGATTCTTGTGTTCCCTGGGCTCAGCTCCATAACAGCTTGTGGATAAGGTCCTACCTAATGAGGTAGGAAACCATATCTACTTCCATCTTTACCTTCCCACCAGGGGAAATTTTATAAACAGCCAGCAGCCCCAAATCAGCCAAATAATTTGCTAAACATACACTCCTTCAAAAACTGGCAAGCTGATAGAAAATTGGTGTTGAGCAACAGTGATGTAGAGGATAGAACATATAACCACTCAACGCCTCCTAAATCCTGGGATAATCCTGGAGTAGATCCCCACACCCCGGTGTTTCTAGCTGGTGAGTCAGATCAGGATTAAAGTCCAGTCAGTGACATGAAACACTGGGGTAGGGAAGGGGGGTAGGGGTATCTGACAAGGCTCACTGCCCTCCATAGATACTCCTGGTTTGAGGAATTACAATTTCTATCTAACTCAGAAAGCACAGACTGTCCTCAGCAAAGGAGCTAAATATAAGCATCAGGGTTTCATTTCTACCATCTGTGCTCTATGAGAGATTTTGTTCACTAAAAGCCACCACGGCTATGTTAAAAGCCAGTACAAGCCAGATGCCTTTTGTTATAGATTATTCCACACCTCAGAACACATGGGAATGCATCCATGACTGAAGGAACAGGTATTGAAACTATTCGTGTTAACTACGCATCTACCATGGCCCTCAAGTGAAAGGACAACCTAGGAGGGGGTGGGCTGGCCACACCTATACTCAGTATGTTCAATTCACAAAGGTAAAAGAGAATGAGACAATTCCCTCTTGGCTCTAAGTTGCTTGCAGCCTCTCTGTGCCCTGGCAGCTAAGACACCAGACCAAGCTCTGATGAAAGCCTAAGAAAATGCCAGGCTTAAACTCACAAGTTCCTGGCAAAGGAGGAATTTTTTTCTGCACACAACCCTAACTATACAAGACTCAAGACAAAAAGTCCATGGTCTGGGGCTGGGAAGGTGGCTCAGTGGTACAGTGCTTGCCTTGCATGCATAAGGCCCTGAGTTCGATTCCTTAGCACCACATAAGCAAAAAGAAAAAAGCCGGAAGTGGCACTGTGGCAAGTAGTACAGTGCTAGCCTTGAGCTGAAGAGCTGAGGGACAGCACCCAGGCCCAGAGTTCAGGCCCCACGACTGGACGCCCCCCCTCCCCCCAAAAAAGCCCATGGCCAGCACATTGCCCTAACATCAGGACGATAGCCTTGAACTTCCCTTCCAGCCATGGCCTCTCCTCTGAGGGTGCCCAACCTGAGCACCTCCTTGGCATTATCTTCTAGTCTGTTTTGTAGGCAGCAGGTCCCAGTCGCAAACCATGTGGCTGTTTTGGGAAGCAGAATCTTCGTTGTTCCTGCCTGAATTAATACTTTAGGGCTAATTAGTAAAGGTGACTAAACTGCTACAGAGAAAATGGCAATGCATGAATGTAGCTCATACTGAATTTCCTAGTTCAACTGTAGCAAGTCAGCTCTTCCTTGAGTGGCTAGGATAATAATGAATTCCACACAGCTCTGGTGGGCTCAGACTTCACACCAGGCATGGGCAGCCCATGCCCAGTAAATGGCCACTCTTTTCGCCACAGATGCAAGCACAGTCTGACTTACTAACTTTGGATTCTCAAAAGCTAACTTGTGATTTCAAGCAGCTAGCTAACCATCCATTCTCAGGCTCCTGAGAAACATTAGAGAGTGACATGGTTGTGATGGGGGCAGGGGTTACACAGAAATCTAACCCACTCTAATCCCTCCTATTCTACCCAGACCAGATAGCATTGCCAGATTCAACAGGACAGCTCTAACCTGGTCCTTTGCCATTATGATGTGCCTACAAATGGGCAATGAATGCATATGTCTCTCAGAGCCAGAGGTAAAGGTATCATGTGTACTACTTTAGGCACACGCTGTTCTCTTGGTGTCATTATTATGAACCTCAAAGTTCCTTGTTAACCCATACATCTGGAAATGATCCTTCAGACCCTAAGCTAAGGGGCACATGGCACCAGGGAGCAGAAGCTGCCAGACCACACCCTGCAGTGAGGCCTCTAAGGCAGGCCTCTGTTTCTGTCAAAACATAACTGGCTCCAAAGTGCACGTCCCTGCTTTAGGAATCAAGGGTGGGTCTGGAAAAAAAAAAAAGGCTCATGAAACATGGGACAGGGCTGGGAAGATGGCTCAGTGGTAGAGCGCTTGCCTTGCATGGCTGAGGCCCTGGGTTTGATTCCTCAGCACCACATAAGAAAAAGAAAAAAGCCGGAAGTGGTGCTGTGGCTCAAGTGGTAGAGCCTTGAGCTGAAGAGCTGAGGGACAGCGCCCAGGCCCAGAGTTCAGGCCCAATGACCGGGCCCCCCCCCCTAAAAAAAAAAAAAAAACATGGGACAGACCCGAATTGGAAGGAAGAGCTTTTTAAGTATTAGAAAAATCCAGCGACAGCCATACAGAAACATCCCCAGCTTTTGTCAAAGCTGGCAAGAATCAGAAAACCTGGTTATCTGGCTTGGCCCCCACCAGTTATAATCTTCCTAGGTGCATCCCCAGTACCTTCCTCTCTGATTTTTCTATGACAGCTAAACCTGGCTCCTCCTTTCCAACCACTCAAAGAAAACTCACAACTACCAGCCATTTGGACTCAGCATGAGAGGCTAAATATTGGAGTCAACTCCCATGTCAAATGAGTCTAGCCTATATGGACACAACATAAGCAGCAGCTTCCTGAAGCAAGCACTGACCTGGTAGCTCCCCCTGGAGCCACTGCCCGGGCGTGTGAGGTCACCAGCAGCCTCCGCAGGATCTCTATGCGCATCGCTCTCCACTGCTCAGGGGGCAGGACGTGCAGGGCCAGCACCGTGAAATAGTGGGGCCCGTCCACGTCAAAGGCACTCTCCACCCACTTCTCTTTGGGCTGTTCCAGGAAACCTTGGAGATTCTTCTCTTCTCGAGACGTTGCTCGTGTTCTGGAAGACAAGGAGTGTGATGGACACAGGGCAGAGACTGGGGGCTACCCAGGAAGGGGACTGGCTCAAAGTGCCACCTTCTGAATCTGTTGAACATTGAGATGGCTGGCAGAGCTCCCATAGCAATTCAAGCTTATTGCCCTTCCAGCCCTTACTCATGTCATCTCCGTGTCCCCACATCAACTCCACAGCATTGTCAACACTTCCTGGCTCTGGAAGCCCAGAGAAGTGAGGCACCTTGTCCCACCAAGCCAGTGAGTAATAGAACCAAACTATGAACACAGACCCCTGACTTGAGTCCAAAGAGAGTCCTCGTATTTAGTGGTTTCCACTGTTTTCTCATGATCATTACAAGTTTCTCCCGGGTAGGTGCTACTGCTTGCTCCTACTCCTGCCTAACCTGTGTTAGCTGTGGTCACTGCAAACCTGAAGACCCAGCACTGTTCTCATGCTCTACACAGATTGTCTCATTTAATCCTCACAAGAACCTGTGAGACAGGTACTACTGCTGCCCCAGCCATGCAGAAAAGAACTGTATAGAAGACCTAAATACCAGAGTTATACACTGGGAAAGCCAGCAATGAGCCAGATCCACCCTACTCCCTATGATAAAGTGTGAACAGGTGCTCATGAATGCATCAGTAAAAGATCACTCAACTATGAGATTATCCTAACAAACCCTCCTTATCCTATTAACTCACACTAATAAAACAAGTATAGATAGATAATTCAAGTCTTCCTGCCCATTTATTCCCAGCTACAAAATCTGCTTACATCCGGGCAGGAACTCTGGTGCCAGGAATGCTTGATGCACATCTTAATTCTCTGTGTATACTGGGAATAGAGGTGGATTGGTAAAAATAATGCAACACAATACTAGCAGCCACTAGAATTCCAGGTTGGCAGATGGTACTGCCAGGGCCACTGGGCTGAGGGCCAGAGGGGAGGGTGGAGGGACACTGTTTCCTTCTGCTCCCTGCAGAATGGGCATGGCTGAAATGGCTGGAGAGACTCAACTGGATCTCCAACCCTGTGGGGGGCTGGAGGCTCTTGGTCACTGCAGGACCACTAGGTCTCTGTGGCTCAGTGGCCATGGCATGGCAAACTTGTGCTAAATGGTCTGTCAGAGGCCCAACAGCCCTATGACCAAGCCCTATGACCAAGTTGCTATTGAGGGGAGCAGTCTGTGGCTAAGACAGAGGGCCACTGTCAGCTTCTGCCTGCCCAAGGTACTATGACAGAGCCAACTGCCCCCAACTCAGGGACTTGGGCATAAATTCCAAGTGTTGGGCATTAGGGAACATAGTGTTGCCAGGAATCATGGACTTGATCCCAACTGGGTGCATCATGGGAAGTGTTTTCCTCGCTAATCTGTTTCTCTCCTTAGAGAATGAAGCAGTCCATTCTACCACATGGATGCCAAGAGACATGTCCCTGCAAAACCACAGGCTTTGTCAGGGCCCAAGAACACCAGTAATTAGCACTGCCAGGGCCTGCAGCAGAGTCTGGACAGTAGCAATGTCTGTGCCTGTCAGGATTGCCAGGTGTCTCTTCTGACAGCCCAAGCAGCTTGGCAGATGATGTAATGTGCTTTGATGGAGCCCTGCCCCACAACCCCAAAAATGAGCCTGTACTCTCAAGGTCAGCCTTGCATCCCACAAGGAGAGGAAAGGAGAAAAAACATTACTGACAAGAAAAAGAACAGGAGCCAGCTGTCCTGCTGCCTCAATTGCGTGGCAGCTGCTAGAAGTGGACTGTGTGTAGCCCTCCTTCAAGCATCCATCTCTCTGCCCACTGGAGCTATGGAACTCTGCTAAGAGAAAGGCCTGCAAGTCTGCATTCATCCAAATAAAATCTACAAGCTAAGGCACAGTAAATCTCTTAACTTGCTCCTAAAATCTGGAGTGGAGCAGAAGACTCTTCTCCACCCTTCCCTGCAGGTGCTTCTTTAAAATGACACTGCTCCAAATGCACACATAAAAACACTTCTATCTTTTTCCCTGGCTGCCTTCTTTCTCAGTTGACTTTCCAGATTATCTTCAATCTTTCTTTTTGCACCTCCAGAAGCATTATTCACTGGTGAGGGCAGGGTTAACAAACTCAGGGTGGGTTCCATGTATAAAGTGAAGCCTGTTCTGCAGCCTCACTTCACTGGGAAGCCTGCACCCGTTACAAGTTTCTGTGCCCCTGAATAATGAATAATGTGTTGCCTAAGGTCAGACATTTGCTCTGGAACTGACGAGGGAGGTAATGCAAAAGCTGGAGGATCTTGCTGGGTAGAAGGTTGTGGGGAGGATAGGCCAAGGTGCCCGTCAGGGAGTGTAGGATACTGACGTGAGGAAGTGGCGCTGTGGCTCAAATGGTAGAGCACTAGCCTTGGGCAAAAGAACTCAGGGACAGTTCAGGCTAAACTCAAACCTCCCAAAAAAAAAAAAAAAAAAAAATAGAGGATACTGACGTGTTCAGGACGTAAAGCACAGTGTGAATGATGTATGGGATCAGGTGAATGTTGCTCTCCCGGCCTCCCCCTCCAGTGTCTGCACTGAACGACTGCTCCATGGCGAAGCGTAGGAAGAGCAGTTTGATGTCGTGGATGTTGAGCTGGTACGTGGGCTCCCGCTGGCCGGTACATTCCTGGAGGTATGTGTTATGCCTATGAAGAACAAACATTGGACCCCAAGTGAGACACTGGTGAGAGACCGGGCTGGAAGGCAGAACTCTGGGATCTTGGGCTGATGCCCACAAAGGTTGACAAATGAGCAAGAAGGAAAAGAGATTTAAGGACAAGGGATAGGGCCATTAGAAGGCAAGACCATGTGACATCTTCACTCCTACTGTGGCTGCACATAACCCTTCAAGTATGAATGCAAAGCTACCACTTTTGGGGCCCATTTTAGATGGGCAGATGGCATAGGACATTTCTTGGCCATGTGATATATTTTAGAGGAAAATAAAATAGCTTATTCATTCTGTTTTCTTTTCGTTTGGGTGTTACTGAGGCAGTTACTCTACTGCTTGAGCTTTGACGCTCCCAGCCCCAGAATTTAAACCCATTTTGCCTGACATGGTGATCTAGACATAAGAACAAGCACTTCAACCTCCAAATGAGCTTTTTCTAAGTCAGTATTCATTCCCATCTGCCCGGTCCCTCTCTCTCATTAAGTGGGTGACCTTGAGCAAGCAATGCACCTTCCTTGTGCCCGCATTTCTTCATCTGTAGCATGTGTAGAGATGGATACATAATACGCTGCTCACTGTTACTTTTACCGTTATCGCTGGCAGGTGTCAGACTTAAACAATAACTATCTTTCATCTCTGATTTTTTTTTTTTTGGTCATGGGGCCTGAACTCTGGGCCTGGGTGCTATCCCTCAGCTCTTCAGCTCAAGATTAGTGCTCTACCACTTGAGCCAAATTGCCACTTCTGGCTTTTTTTCTGCTTATGTGGTGCTAAGGAATTGAACCCAGGGTTTCAGGCATGCAAGGCAAGCACTCCACCACTGAGTAACCAATTCAGCTCATCCCTGAATTTTAAAATAGGACTTGGGGAGGGGCCATCACTCCACAAGTCTGTACCAAGACACAAAGACTTCAGAGATACCTAAGACATTTTGATTTGGATTTGTAGAAGCAGGGTTACATTAAAAGAAGTTCAATATCCTAGCCGGGCGCTGGTGGCTCACGCCTGTAATCCTAGCTACTCAGGAGGCTGAGATCTGAGGATCATGGTTCAAAGCCAGCCTGGGCAAGAGAGACCGTGAGACTCCTATCTCCAATAAACCACCAGAAAACCGGAAGTGGCGCTGTAGCTCAAGTGGTAGAGCGCTCGCCTTGAGCTGAAGTAGCTGAGGGACAGCGCCCAAGCCCAGAGTTCAAGCCCCACGACCGACCAAAAAAAAAAAAAAAAAAAAAAAAGAAGAAGTTCAATATCCTTACCATCACTATGCTACTTTCACTATCAGAGCCACACACTGTAGAAGTGAACCCTGGAAATTTCTCGTTTTAGTGACCAAGTCAGGGTTCTTGAATCTCAGATCATACAATCCGAAAAAGGAGGCAAGAATAACTGATGAGAAATTTTACATACTACAGAAGCTGAGGGGAACAAGGGAAGGTTGTCTAAAGCAGTGGAGGTCCACTAGGCTTTAGGCAACTCCCAGGTTAGAAAGCACAGACAAACATGGATGCCTAGAAAATGGGCAAGGAAATGATGTCACAAGCTTAGAGCTTACGTTTTTCCATAGGAAATGTCTCGCACTCACCTTGCCAAGCAAGTGGCAAAAGCTGATTCAGGGACGTGGGGACCCCAGACAGGAAGGAGCCCATTGCACTTAGTGTTGGCATTCTGCAGGGCAGCACTTTCCCACTCTTCCCGGCCTCGAGCCAACCTGGATGGGGGGCAAAGCAGGAATAAGTGGACTGCTAGAATCAATCTGGCCATCAGGCTGTGGGTGAGTAGGTGGGGAAGGGTTTGCTAATACTGAGTACAAGGCCATGCTCTTGACCCTATAATAGAGAGAACGAGCTATCTGTGATTTCCATATGGTAAATGCTGGCTTCACTAATTCAGGTAAGAAAGACTGTTTCCACCAGCTGGGACCAAAGCCAAACACAATTTCCTTGTTATGGCAAGAATAGTTTGTGGGCCCAAATGGATTAAGGTAGAACACCCAATTCCCCAGAGACTAGGTTGCCAGTTCCAGTCCCTGCCAATCCAGAACCTTGAACAAGTGGCCCCTCCTCTCATATCTCCCAAAGCTCTAGCCAACAAGGGTTCCACTATGCATGGGCCAGAACCTACCTGACAGCAGCTAAATGACAGTCGTAGTGCACAATGTTGAAGTGGGACACGGTGCTGTAGCCCTGCTGTTTCCGAGGCTTATTCTCCATCTCCTCCAAGGCCACCCGCTTAGTAAAGGTATAAATGCCCAGGACCTTGGTGGGCTGCAGAGGTGAACAGAGAAAGGAAGAGGTGAGGAGAAACTCTGCTTCAGGCTGTGGAAGGCGGAGACGCAGACTGGGGAGAGTGAGTGGTATATCTCCTTTTGTCTTGGTATCTGGGTCAGGAGAGTGGCCACTCTGGTTGGAATGTGGTTTGTCCTCATCAAACTTATATTAAGTCTTAATTCTTCAGGATAGTGTTGAGAGGTAGTGGGACCAAGGAGGTAATTAGGTCACAGGGATTCTACCCTTACATAGGGATGATCACAGTTCTCTCATCTGAGGGGCTTGTTAAAAGTATGCCTTGCACATGTGCCTCTCTTCTGTACATGCCTGCTTGCCCTTCAGCCAGTCTCAAGCATTTCAGCAACAGAAAATATATCAAGACATTGGGTGATGGTTGGTACCTCAGCTATAGATTAAATACCTGGTTTATTAACCAGTGAAAGAAATGTGGGAGCAGCCAACAGGAGGAGGCTGTGCATATGGGAGCAGAGATTAAACCTAAGCCACCCTTCCTCTGCATTTCATTTATCTGGAAACACAGAACACCATGCCAGAGAAGATGGCATGGTAGGAGGACTGGTAAGGGCACTTGCCCTTGCACTACTGGGTGCACTGGACAGAAAAAGACTCCTTCTAGGCCTGTCGCTCTATTCCTTCAAGTATCATGTAACCAGTACACCCAGAAAATGGAGGTTCTGATCTCCTGTTGGACTGAACAGAACAGCAGATGTATTCTGAAATCCCTTGGTCTGAGATCAATTCTCAGCTGGAATTCCATCTTTGCCACATACCCTTTAACCATATATGGAGCATTCTGCAGGTTCAAGACACAATCACTCCATTTACACACAGCTCTGCATGTGAGGCTCAGTGTGCAGAAGGAATCCTGTGGGTGGTATCTGTTGATCATGATGCTCAGACAAGTTTGCCATCCTAGCCAGGAGGGCATTTAGCCCTTGGCTCAGTCTCCTAAGTTATGAGTCTTAATTCCAGCCTATCTATGGGCAGAACAGCCTGCACGAGGGGACACTACATGGTAAAGGGCCAGTCTGTGCCACCAGAGTCTGAGACCTCCCAGCAACTGCCTCCCAACAGCCATACCTGAAACTTGTAGCCTTCTCTGCAGATGCAGCATGTGAGGCCTGGCTCCTCGATTAGCTCCTCCATCTGCTTCAGGAGCGCTGTCTTGGTCACTACCTGGCCCTTTTCATTGGTCTGTAGGGGAACCCAGGCAGCATGTCAGATCCCCACATGCTCTCCCATCTTGATTTGAAGACACTCAGGTACACACTAACAACTGACACATAAATAGGCAAGCCGTCCTCGTCTTCTAGTGAGGAGAAACCTGGATTCTTCTGCTAGTCTCCCTATCCTACAGTAAACACTGAAGCCGAAGAAACTGGCCTGGTGCCATTTACCACTCAAAGTCCCCTTCTTTGTGCCAGCTATCCCACATTTCAGATGCCAAAGGCGGTTGTGTTCCGATCATTTACTGTTCTCAGGTGAGTGTCAAACTGCTGACACTTGAGTTTGCTTGTCCAGACAAGGCTCTTCCCAGGAAAGAGCTTCCTCCAAACAGGACAGCAGTAACACAGAGTCCTCTGTGTCAAACAGACCCCACTGAAAATCCTGTTGACCATTTATTAGCTATGTACTCAATTTACTTTATCTCAGTGTCCAATTTCTTCTGGAAAATGGGACTAGTATAAACTTAGAGGGCTTAGAGTAAGGTGCCTGCAGTGCCCAGCACGCGAGCACGCGTGCGCGCGTGTGCACACGCACACACACACACACACACACTCTCTCTCTCTCTCTCTCCATATTATCTCCATTCGTCTTGGTTTTCTGAACTTGCAAAGTCCTGAGTCCCATGTATGTAGCAGAGCATCAGTAGTCACAGCTCTGAAGGTGCCAACATACCCAGTTCCTGCCTCACCTGTCTGTCTAGACCTCACTTTCACCATCCTCAGCCCTACCTCTACCCAGAGTACAAAAGACTTTGGTGTTGGGCACCAGTGGCTCACACTTGTAATCCTAGCTACTCAGGAGGCTGAGATCTGAGGATCACAGTTCAAAGCCAGCTCAGACAAGCAAGCCCATGAGACTCTTATCTCCAATAAACCATCAGAAAACTGAAGGTGGTGCTGTGGCTCAAGTGGTAGAGCACTTGCCTTTAGCTGAAGAGCTCAGGGACAGAGTTCATGGCCAACAACTAAAAACAACAACAAAAAAAAGGTCGGGTGTCAGTGGCTCACACCTGTAACCCTAGCTACTCAGGAGGCTAAGACCTGAGGATCATGGTTCAAAGCCAGCCCGGGCAAGAAAGACCATGAGACTCCTATCTCCAATAAACCACCAGAAAACCGGAAGTGGCACTGTAGCTCAAGTGGTAGAGTGCTCACCTTGAGCTGAAGAGCTGAGGGACAACGCCCAGGCCCAGAGTTCAAGCCCCATGACCAACAAAAAAAAAAAGACTTTGGTGCATGACTATCTCCTCATCCTCAATGGGAACTTAGAGAGGTAGCTTTACCGTCATGCCTAGGGTCCCCAGTGCCTTCTGCCTCATAGCCATGGCCATGCGCTTTTTCTCTGCTCGGGTCTCTCTGCGGGCTGCATCAATTTTCTTGTTCACATCTGGGTGTTCCCGCAGTGCCTCTAGTAGGTTCTCTGCCAAGGTCCCAATGCCCTCGTCACTGGACACCTGCTCCAGTTTATGCAGATTTGTTATGGAGTCAGTTCCAATCAGAACCTGCCAAGAAAAGACCAATGAGACACATGTGCCCAGTTATGGAGACAAACTTTCCAACAGGAACCTAAAGGCTTAGAAAAGCAGCTGACTCGCATACTCTCAAGGCCATCTGCTCAGCTGCAATCAGCACCTGTGCCTCTATACTTGAAGAGACACAAATGTGAGAAGCACTGACTCTACCAGAGACCTCTGACTTGTTACTCTGTTCTTTAGCTTCAGCAATCCCATGTATAAAAAAGGGATACCACCAAGATTGCTGAAAAAATTAAGTATTAGGTGATATATGTAAATATTCCAGAACAGGGAAAGTGCAAAGGAGCAACAAGATAGCAGAAGACAACATTCTGTTGGTATGAGAAGCAGCAGCACATGATGAGACATACATGGTGTACTTAGCAGGCAGCATAGTCCTGCCATTCATGAGGGACCGCCTAAGTTCTGCATCTGGAAGCCTTTAGATCACTAAACAGTTTCCTTAAGCCAGGCATAGGAGAGGTTTACCTCCTTGTGGAAATAAAGATAAATCTTTGAACAACTGACATCAACCTTGTGCTCAGAGGCTGAAGTCACTGCACGGCGGCCCCTAGTCCCATCGGGAGGAGTGGGGGTAGTCTGGACAAGCCCTCCAGGTAAGCTCACTAAGCAGTATCGTGGCACCAATAAAATCCTTACCACCCTGTCACAAGTGATGGGTGGCATTACCACACACAGGACAATAAACTGCAAACAACAAAGTCAACTTGCAAGGTGAAAGTGATTACCAGCTCATAAATCTATTCTCACCACACAAACGCTACAGATTTGCACCTCAGCAAAATGACAAGTTATCTCATGCCTCCTCACTGGGGCCATATTGTAAATCCTGTTGCCTTTTTCACAGGCACCCAACCTCCACACCCTGTATATTTTCTGAGTGTGCATGTACATGTGGGCATACATACATGTGTGCACACCACTATTTGACCTGCCCTCCTGGGGCTCACACTCTGTAAGGAAGGACTGACCATATACCATAGGGCACACTCACAAACTCTCTTCCCGTACTCTCAACACCCTGCCTTCCAACTCCTTCAATGGCACTGCCACCTAGCCATCATCTAATCTAGACACCAGGTGGAGTTCTAGAGTCACCCAACTTCTTCACTCTGTCCGGAGACAATCTCCAGCTCTCATCTATTCACCAACTGGTTCAAGCTACCACTTCATTCCATTGGTTACAACAAAAAAGCCCATTAACTGCTCCCCTCCTCCCTTTAATCCCTTCTCTGCAATGTGGCCAGGGGCTCTGCCCTCAAGGGAAATCCACACTCCACTCTGTGCAGACTGTGCTCTGGGCTCACCACCAGCTCCAGCCATATCGCATTTCCCATACAACTGCTGCCAACTCTTCAACTGAGATGAAGAATGCTCTAAGCCTCCACAGCCTTTGAGCCGTTGCAGGTACCATACTTCTCACTTCTTACAAGCCTGCCTTCCCCTGCACCTTTGTCACTACTTGGCCATTACTGTGTCCTGGCTCTATCTTCTACCAGACAGCAATCTTCCAGTGGACACTGTCTTGTTCACCCATGTTCAACCTAGTTCAGCATCAGGCACAGTAAGTGTTCAATAAACATGTCGAGAGAAAAATGGTCAGTGTGAATGTCAGGTATCAAACTACATGAACTTTGCCATAAAGAAAATCATTAAATGTGTCGAGTAAGGCTGGCAATCAGGGGACTGGAGTTTTAACCTCTAGCCGCATACAAGTTCCATTCCTTGAGGTATTCCCATGCAGCACAAACATGTTACAACAATATGGAAACAATCTATGTGAAGGTTCTTATTGGGAAAAAGTATTCTGTGGCACTCTCTACCGAGCTGAACAAAAGTTTGGGACAATAGAGATTAGTAAGAAAACACAGAACTTTTATTGTAATCAACTACATTTTATAGTTATCAGAACAGACTGCTAAGTGAGAAGACAGAACTACAGTTAATACAGATCATAAACAGAAAAGGACTCTCAAAACTCAACATTTAAAACACTCAACAATGCACTTAGAAAATGGCCAAAAGACAGACACAAACAGACATTTCCTCAAGAGATACATGAAGCCCATGGACATTCATTAGCTATCAGTAACCATCAGGGAAACAAGTGACTACTACAGTGAGACAGCATTGAACATCTATCAGAAGAGCTAAAAGTAAAAATAGCCACCAAATGCTGCCAAGGCACAGAGAAATTAGGTCACTCACACATTGCTGATGGGAGTGTAAAATGGTGCACTCTAGAAAACACATTGGTAGTTTCTTATTAAAACCAAACACGCAACTGTCCAACCAAGCAATTGTACTCTTGGGCATTTATCCCAGGAAATGAAGCCTTATATCCACACAAAAACCTGTAGCTGCCGGGCGTTGGTGGCTCACGCCTGTAATCCTAGCTACTCAGGAGGCTGAGATCTGAGGATTGCGGTTCAAAGCCAGCCCGGGCAGGAAAGACCGTGAGACTCCTATCTCCAATAAACCACCAGAAAACCGGAAGTGGTGCTGTAGCTCAAGTGGTAGAGCGCTCTCCTTGAGCTGAAGAGCTGAGGGACAACGCCCAGGCCCAGAGTTCAAGCCCCACGGCCGACAGAAAAAAAAACAAACCTGCAGCTGATATTCATAGCAGTTTTGTAAGTAACACTCCCAAACTGGAAACAAAATGCTACCTGTTAATGGGTGGATAGTTAGAGAGGAACATGCTATTCATGCTACTGACTCAAGTGATGACCGAAAGGAGCCTCCAGATAATCGGCCTGTGAGGGTGAGTTAAAAAGCCAGCCCCCAAAGGTTACCTACTGTGTGGTTCTTTTTCTTTTTTGGTGCCACTACTGCAATTTGCACTCAGGCCTGGGTGCAGTCCCTGAGTTTTATTACTCAAGGTTTAGTGCTTTCTACCACTTGAGCCAAAATTCTACTTCTGGCTTTTAGGCAGTTAATGGGAGATAAGAGTCTCACAAACTTTCTTTCCCTTGAAGGCACAGAATCTCGATCTTCAGATCTCAGCTGTTTGAGTAGCTAGGACTATAGGCGTAAGCCACAGGCATCCATCATGGTTCAATTTTTTGAAATTTCAGAATCATCGAAACGGAGAATGGACCAGCGGTTAGGAGGGTTTGTGGCAGTGACAGAGAAGCAGATGCAACTATAATCGGTGAACAGATCCTTGTGGGGATCAAACTATCTCATCTTGCCATGTAATAGGATTTGTGTAGGGTTCACAGACACCCCAGCCTAGTGGAGAAACCAGGAATGGGCTGCAGAGTGGTAGCTTTCCTTAGCACAAAGTTGTCAGCTGCCTGAGGCAGACCAGAAAACAATGATACTATTACAAATGGCATGTAATGGTTTACAGTTTGGTCAGCCACAACCATCACAGTTCAATTGCTGCCTAGTTGACTCATGGGATGAGGAAGCCTCCTTTAGATTAGAAGCTGGAAGATCCTGAGTTCAAGGTAAACCTGGGCTACATAGTGAGACCTTGTCTCAAAAACAAACAAGCAAAGGACTAAATAAATGCAGAAATCATAACTTACACAGAGAGGAACTAAATAAATCCTGGGTATTCCTTTCTATTGCAAGAGTTTCATCGGATGTCAAATCACATCTTGAGTGAGGAGTTATATTCTCTCAGTTGGGGGGGGCGGGTGAGGGAGGACCACATTGAATGGCTCCTTCCCACTACATGTCTTGTGTGCAGAATGAAGTCCACACACATGCTCACATGCTGGCCACTCACCTGGGTGGCTGGGTGTTGGATGGCTAGCCCCCGAAGAAGCCTCAAGATAAATGGCAGGGCTGGGCGAGATAAAAACTTTTTCCAGATGTCAGCATCCAAACTGCAAAACAGAAGAAAGGTATACTTGCAGGCCAAGCAAGAAAAGTTACTAAAAACTACTTGTTGATTCTGGCTTGTTCAATGTGATGTTCCAATAGTATGAGAAAGAATCACTAAGAACTACCCAGCCCAGATAAGAAGCCATACAGAAACCAGTACTCTAAACAAACTGAAAGACTGAATGCTTTTCCCAGAGTCTCAAGATTCCTGAGGTAATGACTGAGTAGTTACTGGAAAGAACATAAGGGGAGGGAGCTGTAAAGGAGGGCAAAGGGCAGCACATGTGAAGCTCTGCACCAAGATGAGAGGAGAAGGCAAAAAACAGAGGAGGGAAACAACATCCTGAGGGGAGGGTGGGAGGGCATACTTCTTAGCACTAGGGATGTGCTTTTTCATGTAATCCAGGGCATTCTGAGTGATTCCCTTCTGGAGGATGAGGTCCTTCAGCTGATGCCCATTACTGTTGTTCTTAATGCCGGCTGCAATCTTGCAGAAGCAGTCCAGGAAGACTTTGTCATCACCACTGTAGTCTTCGTCATACCTGGGGGTAGAGAGAGCAAACAGTATGAAGGTGCAAGGACAGAACAAACTAATCAAAACGATCATCAACCACCAGCAGGATCACGTCTGCATTCCTTTATTGAGACTGGACCTGGTACCTGCCATTCTCTCTCTTACCTGCTATGTGCTCAAACTTGCCCTGTTCTTTGGCATTTTCAGTTTTTGTACAGAGTTCTTCTACCTTTTCATGCCCCTTCCTCTATCATCAACCACTACAATTCTGCTGCCTAGCCAGCAGCTACTTTAATACAACAGAATTCAATTCTTGCCTCCCCTTAAATGCCAGATCACAGACACAAAAATCTAGGAGGATCTTCATTAGCCTCACAGAGTTTTGTGAAGACTCTTATTACTTAGTTGCAGGAAATTCTGGCCACATACTTATCAAAGTTGCAGTATGGTTTGAACCGCTCCACCAAGATCTGCATCTTTTCCACCTCTCCAAAGGAGAGGTATGGGATGATGCGCAGCAGGCCCTGAAGCACACTAGGGTTAGAGCGGACGAAGGTGCTGTTGATCTGGTCCAAGAGCATCACGAGTTGGTCCTTGTCACCCGTGAGGAGGAGGTTACCCTGCAACAGGGAAAGTAGCAGAAGGACTGAGCCTACAGCCAACAGCTGATTGCTGAAGGTCAGCCACTCCCATCAGACCCAGAAGAACCATTTCTTAACCCTTCCTTGGCAATAGAAACAGGGACGAGTTTCTCTTGGTAAAGCTTTCCAGGTTTCTGTGATACTCTCTTAACAGTCAAAATATACCAATATAATCTCTTGCCACCCTAAGAGGATGGAGCCTGCTGAACATTTGGGAACAAGGCTTGCCTCATCACCAGCACCAGGAAGCCAGGAGGAAGGCAGATGCAGACAGTGGACAGGAATGGAACTGGATAGGGAACACCTGGTTCTAAGCCTGACACCATCATAGCAACTAGATGACACCGAATAATTCACTTCCCTCTCATGGCATCCAGTTTCTTCAATTGTGAGATGAAGACTAAGCAAACGCCCCTCTATCAGCTGGGACAGACCTGGACGCCATGACTGAAAGAGCATCTTCAGCAGGTTTGCTTCCTCTGACTCCAGAGCTCTGCTCCAGTACACTGATATCACCATTAACAGAGCCTGGCCAGTCCTATGGCTTGGGTGGATGGGGTCATTCCAATTATAGGGTATGCTCAGCTAGTTCCAGACAAGCCTACTGCGGTCCCAGTAGCTGCAGGGAGAAGGGATGGGGGGTCTTCTTACCTTGTCCTCACTCAGGGGCTCCGCATTGGACTCATCTAGAATGATTTCCATGATGCTGAGCACCTGCTCAGCCACAGCAGCACCCCCACTGTCCTTGCTCTCCTGCTCTGCTACCAGAGCCTGGGGGAGAAAGAGAGCCAGTCATTCTTGAGGTACGGCCACAGTCACTCAGTGCTGACCATTCCCTGCTGTGAGACCCAGAGACCACATGTGTGCACACACATGTGTGTGTTCTGAGAGACAAGCATGTGGGGTTTTGAGGACATTGTCCTCATTGCCCTGAGACACAGGGCACTATTCTCCACCAGCGTGGAATTGATTGTTTGCGGGCTGCCTTCCTCTCACTTCTGACAGGCTCTCAGGAAGCGAGCAAGGAAGTTCTAGGGTGCCCTGACAGCCACATGGGCTGAGTCAGCAGGAAGAGGGGCCAGGGCCCAAGACCACCACCATTCCCTCCACATCACCTGCAGCCCACAGCCATTACCAAGTTTAGCGTCCCTAGCATGACATTCAAAGTGTTCATCTCCAGCTTGACCAACTGCTGCCGGTTGACTTTCACCTTCACACAGTAACTGAACAACTTCAGCAGCACCTGACAAGAGAAGCCAGTCCAGACCCATAAGACCATCCTCAAGCCTAAGTATAAAGCCAGCAGCAGTCTAAGAGGGTCCTGTACAATCAGCAGGGGTTTCTCCTCATTCAGGCAGGTACTTAAGGGAGAAATGACCCTCAGCATCATGGCAAGCTGGCTGGGCTCTCACACCAGGTTGGCCTTTTGAATGGCAACATTCTCTACAAGTTGCTGTCACCTCTGGACTAGGCAGTGATACCAGCTTCTAATGGAATAGGTGATACCCTGCTGTCCTGGGGAAACTCCAGCACTAACTCTGACACTGAACCAACAGAAGACAGAATGATTCCATATGATAAGCCACTTGCTGGAGGCTCTGAACTAAGTGGGTCCTAAAAATGGATACCCTATTCATTTCGTATGCCCAGTAGGATAGAAGAGGTGAAATAGTAATGAAATATTTGTGGTTCCTCTAGACTCCTCTAATTTTGACCAATGAGATTGTTGAATAAATCCCTAAAGAGAACGCTACAATCTGAGTTACATTACAAAATTCATCTTTAAAACATAATAAAATCATGACTGACACAAGTGCATTTCTTTGGGGAAAGACACTCAGACACTGATTCCTCAGATAATTAAAAGGTACTGGAAAAAGTGGCTACCATCAACTTGGTTTTGATGGGGAAGGGTGGAGCCTAAGATACCAAGCGTTTGGCAAACTGCCAAGGCCTTTAGTGGTCTGCACTGGCACACATTACTCCCTCTAGGGATAAAACAGCATCAAGGCTCTGTGACAAATGAGTCTCTCCCTGTGCAGAAGGGCTGGTCCCTGACCAACTTACTGTTAGAAGGTGGCGCCCCTGTTTGAAGTCTTTGATCCCTGCCAATCTGTTAAGCATGCACTCCAGGCCCCCACACTGGGCCATCACCCCAGCCATCTTGTACACTTCTTCTTCATCTTCTTCTTCATCTAGAGAAGGAAATGCAAAAGGAAGGGAGGGAGGGTGAAACCAGTCTCCAGAATGAAATCCTCCCAGCCCATCTTCTAGGTTGAGACTTTATAGCCCTTCTCCACATAGGTTACAAAGATCTAACCAATAAAAAGGTCAGTATCAGATGTTAAAACACATGACCTCACTCCCAATAGGAGTTTTTCTTAAAGTTCAAGTCAATTAACATCATTTGCACAAAGTATAAGCAACTACTACTATCAAGGGACAAAACAAAATGAAACTTAAGCTAAAAATAAATCTGAACTCCATTTTATTGCTAATTTTCTCTCCTAAAAGCTTGTTCTAAAGCATGTATTTTACCTCCAAGTCTGATGTCCAGTATAAGAGAGCATTTACTGACAATACACAAGTCTTGGGACAAGACTGATCCTTTTATATGAGATTCAACACCCCAAACCCCAGGCCCAGTATGCAGCACTCTGAGGAAAGACCCTACCTGTGGTAGAGTCCAGAGACTCGATGAACTCCTCAGTGGCGTCACCCAGCAGGCCCCGCATTCGATAAACAATTCTCATGGGCTCTCCCTGAGTAGAGCAAGTTGGAGAAAGGTTCTTAGAAATAGGCCCATGGGGCTGGGAAGATAGCTCAGTGGTAGAGTGCTTGTCTTGCATGCATGGGACCCTAGGTTCGATTCCTCAGCACCACATAAGCAGAAAAAGCCGGAAGTGGCACTGTAGCTTAAGTGGTAGAGTGCTAGCCTAGAGCTGGAGAGCTGAGGGACAGTGCCCATGACCAGAGTTCAGGCCCCGTGACCAACAAAAAGAAAAGAAAAAAAAAAGAAACAGGCCAGGAAAAATATACCTATAATTCTAGCTACACAGAAGGCTGAGATCTGTTCAAAGCCAGCCCAGGCACCAAAGTCCATGAGACTCTTATCTCCAATAAACCACCAGAAAACTGGAGGTGGTGCTATGGCTCAAGTGGCAGAATGGTAGCCTTGAGCTGAAGAGTTGGGGGACAGCACCCAGGCCCAGAGTTCAAGCCCCACGACCGACAAAAAAAAAAAAAAAGTTGAGCAAAAGCCCAAGGCCCTGAGTTCTAGCCCTGGTATGGGCATAAAACATAACAACAACTCACTCAAGGCAAAAACTCCAGTAGCTAATTATTGAGTATTTGACTCCTCTAATTCAGTCCTTTATATTATCCTTTTATATGAGATTCAACAACTCATTTGTAGTTATCTAGGCAGAAGCCGAGACCTAATTTCAAGCCCTAGCTCAGAAGAAACTCTAACCACTGGAGACTACTTACTATTCAAAGGTTCAATTCAAGATGAGTTCATTTAGATCATTTAGTAAATGAGGTGGGCACAGTGGCTTATCCCTATAATCCCAGCTACTTGGGAGGTAGAGATCTGGAGCATTGTGATTTGAGGCCAAACCAGGTAAAAAGTTAGCAAAATCTGTCTCAGTCAATAAGCTAGGCACTGCAGCACACACCTGTGATCTCAACTACAAGAGAGGTTGTATGTTGAAAGATTTTGATTTGAGACCAGCCCAGGCAAAAAACAAGCGAGACTCTTAACACCCCCCCCCCAAATAAATAAAAGCAGAAAAGGACTGGGAGTGTGACTTAAGTGTCAGAGCATTAGTCTAGCAATTACAAGGCCATGAATTTCTCCTCAACCCCTATAGCTTGATTGACATGACTGTCTCTCTGTTAATAGCTATACCTTTTAACTCATAGCAGCCTAACAAGAAACAGGAGCTCTGATTTCTAGCATAGAACGAAACAATAGAAAGAAGGCAAAAAAAATGTGACCAATTAAAGCCAAAAATGTAAAAAGTGCATTGCCAGTTTATTTTCTTAAATCTCACAAAAATATTTGGGACTGGCTGGGAATGTGGTTTAGTGGGAGAGTGCTTGCCTAGCACGCATGAAGCCCTAGGTTCAATTCCTCAGTACCACATAAACAGAAAAGGCCAGAAGTGACGCTGTGGCTCAAATGGTAGAGTGCTAGCCTTGAGCAAAGGAACCTCAAGAACAGTGCCCAGGCCCTGAGTTCAAGCCCTAGGACTGGCCAAAAAAAAAAAAAAGGGACTAAGTACAAAAACCATGCCTTACCATTACTCAAGTTTGCTATAATTAAGCTGCATATTTCATTCACTGACTGAAGACCCTCAACAGAGACAATAGGAAGGGAAAGAACTGGAATAGAGAGCAATTAGGGGAATATAGAGAGACTGAGGGAAGGGGGATGTTGGAGACTTCCTTAAGTGGAGAGACAACAAGTATTATGGTGGCCAAGAGGACCAAAGCACTGTAGCTCAGTTCTCAACAACATCTGCCTGCTTGTGTTTCAACTCTCCAAGTAGCAAAACAACTGGGAAATATCCTGATGTGCGAGTGCTCCCATAAAAGCTGAGAATGAATCTCAGTTGTGATGTGCCTGCATAAAGCCCATGGAGCTCAAGAACACACACAAGCTAGCCTATGCTACATGAGGACAGAAAAAACTCAAGCTTTTTTTTTTTTTTTGCCTTTTGTTCACAACTCCCTTCCTTTTTTGCTTTTCTTTTATTTTCTTTTTGAGTTAGCACTAGGGCTTCAATTCAGGGCCTGGGTATTTTATCTGAACTTTTTTGTTCAAGGCTGACACTCTACCACTTAAGCCACTTCTAGCTTTTGGTGGTGAATTGGAGATCAGAATCTCGGATTTTTCTGCCCAGGCTGGCTTCAAACTCGATCCTTAGAGCTCAACCTCCTGAGTAGCTAAGATTACAGGTGTGGTTCTTTTAGGATTACAGGCGTCAGCCTCTAGGGCCTGGCTTTTTCATGCTTTCTTGAAGTTCTTTTGCTGTCATTGGTCTTATGTTTCAAAAAGTAAAGAAAGTGATAGGCTTTTTCCATACATCCACAAAGAGAGGAAGTAAGGCTGCTAGTGTTGCCACAGGGCTAAATGATGATTAACAACCTGTGCAAAAGGGGGGGGGGGGAGGAAGAGACACACTCCTAAGCAAGAAAACAAGCACATACCTCATTCGTGGTACACCAGACCTTCTTGTAAACTTCAGCCACAGGTAGGTCCAAACTAATAATTTTATTGTTCACTAGAAGCTGAACAGAGAAACAGATGAGCTTGTTATTCCACATAATTGTAAGTTTCAAGATCAAAGGATGGTTCATGGCAGTGTTCACATTCTTCACTTTCACCTGTCCTGGGTCTCTGTACATGTTTTTGTCTAGAAAATGAATACATATGTCTTACACCCAGTATCAAGTATACAATCTTAGGGTCAAACACTCTTTATCTAGTTGTGGACTCCAGCTTAGAAACTGTGCACAGGACCTTCATTCTTGAGTCAACTTCAGGTCAGCACTGGGAAAGGCACATGTGCTTCTCACTCTGTATATGATAATCCAGACCCTCTCACTGAGTATATAATAATCCAGACCCTCTTGTTATGTATATGATCATCCAGACCTACAAGTCTGTCCATCAGAAGGTCCTGCACACAGGGCCTTAAATCTGTAAAGACAGAACATCAGGATTGTGGGAGCTCTACTAACTTGGAATCTCTTGAAAATCTATGAGAGAAACAATAATCAAAACCTACAACTGCCATTAACCACCTATATATTCAATGCCAAACACTGGGAAGAGCTCTCCATACCTCCCTAACACCAGGAGTGGCAAGCAGGTGGGAAGCCAATGCAAGCAAGTTAATCAGCTTCTAATGAGAAGCAGCTGGACTTGATTTCTGCCCATGCTCTCATTCACCAGCAGACTGTCCCATGCTTCTTACCTCCATCCCACTGTCGTCCTCCAGGAGAGCCACCAGGTCACAGTCCTGGCAAATCTTGTTCTTTATATCTCTCATAAGTGGCCCAATGCCTGGCTCATTGCTGCTATATGGATTCCCAGGCATCCTGCCCTGTAAGAAATCTTCTTGTTGGGGGTCCTTCTCCAGGGTCACAAAGAATTCAGTGACTTCATTCTCCTCCTAAAGGACAGAAAAGGAAGTGCTTCAGCATTTCCTGCCACCAAGGGGTGGGAGAGGCAGGTTTCTGCCATGCTGCATCTTCTGTAGATAGTCTGAGAGAAACATTATAAAGAATGGGAAGCTCAGAGGTCACTCAGAACAGCCAGAAACAATCCAAGGAGCCTGAAACACCAGCAAGAAGACAAGGAGTGAGACATGCTCATCAGTGCTGACTCATCTAAGCCAGATGACTGTCTAACCCTAAGCTGAGAAGAGGGTTTCTTTACATGGCACAACTCAGTGACCTCTCATGGGTAACTGGGGTCACTGGTGTTTACTTCCTTCCTCCACAGCAAAAAGGGTCTCTGAACTTCCACATAGCTCAGGCTATGCAAAATGAAGCAAAGAATGCATGCATACTTAAAACTAATGGGGTAAGGAAGGATGAGAGCAACAATGTCTTTGTACTCAAACCCAAATAGCTTCCTCCACAACATGCCAGACTGATCAACAATGAGATTTCAGAAACGAAAGCTAGAATTAAACTAAAATAGTAATAAGGCTGATCTTGACCTTCAAGATAGGAAGTAAGACCAAGAAGATTACTGAATTTTCCATAGTAGGAATGGAAAAATAAGGAGGTTGCTTCTGTTTTATGCCAGTGGATCTTCCTAAAATGTTGTCTGAGTCCCCAAGTGTTATTAGGCTGACACTGAAACCATGGGGAGCACTCACTGCTTACAGGATAAATGATGCTGCACAGCCTCTCAAAGATGAAAACTGGTGTTCGGTAGTCGTCCAGATTGTAGCGCTTGGCTGTCTCAATGCATACAGCCATGAAGGCTTTGGTTTCTGATTCTGTACCTGCCAGAAATCAAAGTGGCCACGTTAGTGAGAAGAGCTTTCTTTGCCCATGCAGAAATGAAACTAAATGTAAAGCACTATGACCAACAGATTTTTTCTTGCTGTTAAATTTTTTTTTAACTTTTTCTTTTCTTTTTGAGACAAGGTCTTGCTATAGCCAAGGTGACCTCAAAATCTTCCATCTTCAACTGGGATTATAGGCACATGTGTGTCACGCCACCTGAGCCCTAATCTGTGAATGCTGTCTATGCAATTCAATTGTAAACTTGATGCTGACTGATTTTTATACTTGAACTACATTCACTGAGAAATCCTTCCAACCAAGTCAACATACTGCATCATCTGGGTTCCTGTCCCTATGTCTCTAAGGATACACCTCCTCAGGAGGGACCGTGCCATATTCAGTTCAGCAACCCCTTGCCAAAAGAGGCTCCCCTCCAAATATCAAGTCATAATTCTGACTATATTCTAGTCACATGGAAAGATGTTATTGTTTATACATCTTTTGGAAAGAGTAAGTATACTGCCCTCTATAGGACCAAGAGCCAACTTCAAGTCACCTGATAAGAGAAATAGGGTCTTTAGATGGGGCTCTGGTGGCTCACATCTGTAATCCTAACTTTTCAGAAGGCTGAGATATGAGAATAGCAGTTCAAAGCCAGCCCAGCACAGGAAAGTCTGTGAGATTCTTATCTCCAATAAATTATTCATAAAAGGCCAAAAATGGTGCTGTAGCTCAAGTAATAGAATATTAGCCTTGAGAAAAATCAGCTCAGGGACAGTGTCCAGGCCATGCTTTCAACCCACAGAACTGGCCCATACATGCGTGCACATACACGCGTGTGCGTGTGTGTGTGCGCGCGCGCACACATACACAGCTTACACTGACAAGATCACAGGCTAGCTGGGCTTGAAATGAAAGTGATATCTGAAGGACTTCCATTTGGGATACGGTTCCTGGACCTCTCTTTACTTCTCACCACTTAAGAACTTAGAATGTGGAATATCTGGTATAACATATGTATCAGCAAACTGGCAGTGAAAAAGATTAGAGAAATCAGAAACCAAGACAAAGAGGCAAATCCCTAAAGCAGCTTTTTGCCTTGAGCTTTGGTGTTTCCACAACCAACCAGGATCTGTGTACTAGATAAAAAGTTGTGAATCTTAGCCGGGCGCTGGTGGCTCACGCCTGTAATCCTAGCTACTCAGGAGGCTGAGATCTGAGGATCGCGGTTCAAAGCCAGCCCGGGCAGGAAAGACCGTGAGACTCCTATCTCCAATAAACCACCAGAAAACCGGAAGTGGCGCTGTAGCTCAAGTGGTAGAGCGCTCGCCTTGAGGTGAAGAGCTGAGGGACAGCGCCCAGGCCCAGAGTTCAAGCCCCACAACCGACCAAAAAAAAAAAAAAAAAAGTTGTGAATCTTTTGAGGCAGGAGTCTAGCAGAAGCCACCTTCCACCACACATGCACGCATGCGTGCATGCGTGCGGGCGCCCAGACACATAAACATGAACGTGGCAGCTCAATAGACCTAGACTCTTGGTATAAGGGTCAACTAGATATATCTTTCCTTTCCTCAGTCAAATTGCTTTCAGGAAAGCAAATTGTCTTTCCTTAAAATATGGCACTGAGTAGGAAACAAATTTCTAAGAACTTACAAGCCATCCCCTCACAGGGCTGTGTGGATCCAACCTTACACTACCTGAAGCCTGAAACACCTAAAGCTCAGAACTTCCCTGAAGGCAGCTCTGGATGGCAGAGCCCTGGGACAACAGACTGCTTCGCAGAAGCAATTATGAATTCTATCTAGAGAAACTCATTGTCAGGTTGTAGAGTTTAACAATATGAAGTCACAGTCAATATCATGAAATACAAAAAGATTTAAGGTATGTGTTTTACAAGAAAGAACCTGAACAAAAAGCAGTAAGATCAAACTTTAGAATGATTAAGTACAATGCCGGGCGCTGGTGGCTCACGCCTGTAATCCTAGCTACTCAGGATGCTGAGATCTGAGGATCGCGGTTCAAAGCCAGCCTGGGCAAGAGAGACCGTGAGACTCCTATCTCCAATAAACCACCAGAAAACCAGAAGTGGCGCTGTAGCTCAAGTGGTAGAGCGCTCGCCTTGAGCTGAATGATTAAGTACAAATATGCTTACAATTACAAAAAGGAAGGTAAATGTGAATGAGCAAGAGATTATAAAATCTGAAACCATAGGCCAGGTGCAGTGGCTAAAGCCTATAATGCCATCTACTTGGGATACAAATTGATAATAATTGAAGGTCAGCCTGAGCATAAAAGCTCACAATACTCAATCTAATCAATGGCTGGACCAGTGGTATATATGCCTGTCATTAATTCTATACTACAAGGCAAGCACAGTACTGGACGCAGAGGTATGGACCTGTCATCTCAGCAGCAATAGGAGGACTACAGTCTAGAACAAATGCAAAAAGGTACTGGTGGAGTAGCTCAAGTAGTAAAATGCCTGCTTAGCAAGCACCAGGCCCTGAGTTCAAACCTCCAGACCATCAATAAAAAATATAAATAAATAAATTTAAAAATCTGGAAATATAAGAATTCTGATAGATTAAAAACAGATTACTCACAGTGCATAAGAGATTAATGAACCAAGAAATTATCCAAACTACAACACAAACACACCATGAGATTAACATGGAATTCCATAAGTACAAGGTGGACAGAGCAGAGCGAATTAGGGACAAGGTCTCAGAACTTCCCAGACTGAGAACCCTTGCACTCCTCCAACCCCACCCCGTGAGCGCAAAAGAAAAACTCCAAACTCCAAACTTATAATTCCAAGAACCAGTGCTTGAGAGATGGCTTTCTCCCTTATATATGGGGAGATCCGTGCCACCCCTCCTCCAGCTCTGTAGCACTTGGGGGTGTAGACCCATGCACCTTGTCAGCTCAGGAAGGTCAAAGGATACCAGCACTAGCTGCAGATCAGGGCTACCTGTGGTCATGTCTTCCAGCATCTCCAGCAGCATGTCCTGGGTTTCATCTATCAGCTTGGTCCTCTGCACCACCAGCTTCCGCAAGCACAGGTACCCATTCAGCACGGTTCCCACCAAGCGACTTTTAAAGTGCCTTTTGATGGATTCCACCTCCACGAAGGAAGACAGAAGGCCTGTGGGGACAGGAAAACATGGTTTCAAGAGCCCTCCAAGAGACTACAAGCAAGGAAGGCTAATGTCATCACAGGCCATGGGCAACTCAAAAAGCAAAGCATATCTGTCTTTGTTCAAAGCACAGAACAAGTAGGTGATCAAAAGAAAAATGAGCAGTATGAATCTGCATTATGGTCAACACAAAGAGGAAGGAAGAAGTCAGCCCAGATTCTAGGAATTAAGATCAGTCCTTAGCACACGCCCTGGCTGTCTGAAGGGAAGGTTCACTGGTTCTTTACCTGTGAGACTTTTGAGGGCATATCCCTGCTGCAGGTCAGTGCTCAGGGTGGCCTCCTCCAGGGCAAGCAGGCGGGCTATTTCCTAAGCAAGATGACAGACACAGTGTGACACTGTTGCCACTAATCCCAGTCACCTCCATCATCCCAGGAGTGTGCAAGCACCAAACAAAAGCATTCAGCAGCCAGGTCTGCTCAGTCCAGCCCTTGCAGAATCGCTTTGAAACAAGACAGCTGCAGAGCTGTTGAGGACTGCTAAAAATCCCCAAACAGCCTAAAGGCCCTGCAGACTGCTACAGCCATAGGATAGTTACAGTACAGTCAAAAGTCTAGACTGTTACAGTGAAAGGAGTTAGGGGAGTGGGAGGAATACCTTGGTGATGAGGTTGCCTACGTAGGGCAGAACTCCCCGAGCTGCCAGGTAGACCTTCCAGTGGGCTGAGGCGATAAGCTTCTGGTAGAGAGCCAGGTACTCAGCAGCACATTCCCCAGCTATGCTCAGCTCGTCCAGATAGCTGCCATCAAGAGACAAGTGTCCACAGTAATGTCTAGTGGTTCTAAGATACCCAATGGCTCCCTCCTCCAGATCTTCTGCTGTGCCTCTCCTCTTCCAGAAGTGGAGGGAAGGCATCTGAGAAACCCCATATTCTCACATAGGAAGAAAACAGAGAGCCACAGGGAATGAGGGCTGTGAACTCTACCCATTCCTACCTCAGAGCTACTGCCCCCAACAAGCACCTAAGACAATGTGTGCAGGCACTTAGGTGTGAGCACCTGAGAACAAAGGGTCAATCAATGAACACTGCTGTCTGCTTTACCTCCCTTAAAACACAGCCTGGTGGTGCTATGTTACTTCTGCAGTAGGGAGGGAGACGAGCACACACCCGCACGGCTATACCTCCTAATCCTGATCTGCAAATGTCCACTGCAAAGAGGAAAAGGCTGCTGATGAAGTGAATCACCTCCTCATCTCACCCCAAACTATACCTGGTGAGGAGGTCGAGGACCTGCTGCTTGCGGCTGGGGATGGTGGCCAAAGCCTCCACAATGGTACAAGCTGCTTGCCGGGCAGCCTGTGTTGCAGGAGTAAAAAGCACCTGCAGGATACAGAAGAGGAGAAGCCTGGGTCAAGAGGACATCCTGTTTTACCAAGCTCCCAGCAGGGGAGTTGGCTGCCACACATCCTGAAGAACTCTGGGAACCTCCCAAGGGAAAGAGCTAAAGCTCCAGATCACCAGCTAACAGTATCCAGTTACTACAGCCCTGGGAAGAGGCTGCTGAGGAGTTTCCATTCTTCATGGAGACTTTTCCACCAAGTGGCTGGGAGAGCACCTCAAGTTAACTCAAGAAGGAAAAGTCAGGTTGGGAAGGTGGCTCAATGGTAGAGTGCTTGCCTCACATGCATGAGGCCCTGAGTTCGATTCCTCAGCACCATATAAACAGAAAAAGCCAGAAGTAGCGCTGTGGCTCCAGTGGTAGAGTGCTAGCCTTGAGCTAAAGAGCTGAGGGACAGCGCCCAGGCCAGAGTTCAGGCTCCATGACCGGCAAAAAACAACAACAACCAAAAAAAAAAAAAAAAAAAACAAGAAGGAAAAGTCAAACAAGCTTTGTTCTTAGCATGGATACCTGTAAGCACAATTTCATTTAATTGTGTCTTGGAAGTAGTGCTTTAACCAGTTCACCATGCTGGTGGTTACACCAAGAACCCTTACTGCTTTGAAAGGACCCAGCAATAACAAAGGGAAAAAGAAAGCAGAGCAGACAAGTGATGATGTCCAGACACAGGGAGTGAGGGACCTGGGATACAGCCACTTACTTGTCGCAACCAGTTGTTATGCCCCAGTTTGAGATCCAGAGGGGTGGTTCTCTTCCCTCGCCGGCTCAGGAACTGTTTCCACCTCCATACATACTTCTCAGTCAAATAGAGATGGTGAAGCTCTGACTTGCTGGGAGACTTCCCATTGCCTTCTATCCCTGAAAGGTCAAGGTCAAGGATTGTAGGGAGAGATAAGTGTAAGGTCATGATGGTAATTGGGGTGGGGGAGAAGTTGTGAGGACAGAGGCAAGAGGGGGGCAACTCTCCATATCTTGAAGGGATCAATATACCTCTGATAGGAAGACACTTCTTCCAGGCTTCATAGGATGCCTTGGGATCTCTCTTGAGCCACAGCTGAGCCTGGGCATGGATCTCATTGCAGTATGGCTTCACAGTGGTGAGGGCCTCGACAGGGACATCCTAGAGGAAGCGGGGCAATGTAAGAGCTCACTAGCACGCTGAGCCCAGTTCTAGCCATGGAATGGCCCTGGCAACCCAGGAGCCACTTTCAAAGCCGAGATGATCTGGAGCAGCAACATGTACATCTTCTATGTCCAAGTATATGTTCCTATTAAACATCCGGATCCACTTTAATAGAAGTCTCTATGTTAGGCCTAATGGCAGGCTGCGAGCAGACAATGCCATAATCCACACACTAAATCCTATCCCTGTAGTTTCCCAGAATAGAAACCCTCCAGGGGGTCATTGCATTTTCCAGAATGTACACAGTTAGCCCCCACAGAAGAGGGCCTGCCCAGTTATAAACAACTGGCAAACTTTCTGGCCTCAGGACCTTGTTATGACGTTCTTCAAAAATTACTCAAGAGGGCTGGGAAGGTGGCTCAGTGGTAGAGCGCTTGCCTTGCATGCTCCAGGCCCTGGGTTCGATTCCTCAGCACCACATAAGCAAAAAAGAAAAAAGCCGGAAGTGGCGCTGTAACTCAAGTGGTAGAGCACTAGCCTTGAGCTGAAGAGCTGAGGGACAGCGCCTAGGCCCAGAGTTCAGGCCCCACGACCGGACCCCCCCCCCAAAAAAAATTACTAAAGAGACTCTACAGAACTTTTATTTGTGTGGTTAGATCTATCAATATCAACCATATTAAAGATGGAAACCAAAATTAAAATAATATTATTCATTTAAATACCAATTATCTAATTAATATATTTTCTGAAGCAAATAATAATCTATAGAGAAAGGAGTGGCACTGTTTTTGGGTTGTGGGGCTTGAACTTAGTGCCTGGGTGCTATCCCTGAGTCTCTTTGTGCTCAAGGCTAGCATTCTACCACTTGACCCACAGTACCACTTTCAGTTTTTTGGTGGTTAACTGGCTGTAAGAGTCTCACAAGGACTTTTCTGCCCAGTCTGGCTTCAAACTGCCATTGGGGTCCAGAAGAGTAGAAGTTTTTAATTGACAAACATTTAATCCACAACTTTCCCATCAGTTATTCTTTCAGACAATTGTGACCTTGCAGAAAAGCAGGGCTCAGCTAACATTTCACAAGAGCCCAGGAATTAGGACTCTTTGTCACACTGCACATTAAGAAGGCTGGGACTCGGGTAGAATCTCCCGTTTTATTGAGGATGTTGTGATGCCTCCTCAAGCTAGGCTCCAACAACCTCACCTAGCATAACCACCAATAGAAAGAAGAGAGCAAAGACTATCTTAGAGAAAGTTTTGTTGAAAAGTTTTGACTGAAAAGTTTCTCTTTTCAATCAAAGATGGATTTTATTTGCTGGGAATTAACTCTAGAGAGAGAATCCATCCAGGGTAAGGAAGCAGGCAACCTAGTCCTTCCTTTGGGAAAACTACCAGAGAAGACCAGGAGCTATAAGATGATTCTCTTGTGTCTAGCACTTTTTAAGCAGTCATACACTAAGAAGCCTTTTCCCCAACAAGCATGACCCATCTGAAGGGAGCAGGAATCAAAAATGGATCAACCTATATACACGTAACACTTATCAAAATGAATTGCAGGAAATGGAATCAAGAGGGTTTTTTTGTCAAGTGTTTTTCTGTTCTTTTTGTTCTGTTTGTTTAACTGGCTTTGGGGGAGGGGAGCACAAAATGGAAGAACAAAAGGTAAACAAATGCAGCAAGCAGTACTCAATAGATGCTATGTTGAAAATGAACTACATAACTCATAAGTGGGTATGGGACATAAAAACTGGGAGAGAGAGCAAAGGAAGAGGTGACACTGTCCAAAAGAAATATGCTCACTCCCTGACTTACATAATTATAACTGCTCTGTATATTATCTTGGTAGTAACAATATTAAAAAACAAAAACAAAAAATGGATCAAGGCAGGCCAGACTAGAGAGAGCCTCAAGAAGGCAAGATGGGGGGGGGGGAGAGATGGGAAGGGGGAACAAAGGAGGAGGCTACAATGCTTGATAAGAAATGTACTCATTATCTTGCCCATGTAATTGTAACCCCTCTGTACAGTATTTTTACAATAAAAAAAAAAGAAGGCAAGATCATGAGAATGAATTATGGCCTACATATCTATAACCCCTACAGCAAGTCAGTCTGTAGCTTAGTGATGGATATTTCAGAATAAAAGCTTGAGTTTTATTTATTCACCTAATCATGACGTATTGTGCAGCTATTATACATACATTGCTCTAGTATATACTAGGTAATAGAAATAAAATTTAGCAAGTCATACAAGTGGGAAAGAACCCAGTGATTTTTGGGAGCCACAAGTCATTTAAAAAGGTAGTCTTTCAATGGCTTTTGCTTTCAAAGCACTTAAGCTTTTATATTTTCATGTTCATTTTTCTCCAAACCTCTTTCTCAAAAACCTCAACCCATCCACATGTATGCTCAACAAAAACAAAAGCAGCCTAGCCAATGCATTCACAGTACGGCATAGACCTTCAGGAAGCAAGTCACAATGCTCATTGTCCTCCCTGGCCCCATACCTTGTTCTTCTTGCTGGTTGGGGCAGGTGGCTTAATAAGCTTCTGCAAGATCCTCAGGCACATGAGGGTGATGTTCTCGACTACCACAGGAGTCTTAATATTCACAGCCATGAGGAAAAGGCTCAGCGCTAGGGACCATCAGGAAAGGCAAGGTCATGATCACAAAAATATGCCACCTACCCAACAAGGCTGCCCAACTGTCCTCCTTCTTCCATCTCTCCCAGTTGGTGCCAAGACTATGGCTTAGTGCCTCCTTTCCAGTCTCTGAAAAGCCCTGACCCAAATCCAGATGTTCCCTGAGCTCACCACAGCGTAAACGGAGCTCCCAGCAGCTGTCCTCCTTCGAGATGGAATCTGTCAGCAGCAGCATCTCATACTGCAAACTACTTGCCTAGAGGCCAATGGGAAGGCACATGAGTCAACAAGGATCTACACAGTCAGTCCCAGACTGGGACTGAGTCCAAACTGATCTCAGGATTCATAATGAAATGTCTGGTCACAGATGGCCCCATCAGGGACAAGGAGAAATGGAGACCCCCATTCAGTAGGCTCCATCTGAGAAATCATCTTAGGATGTGATCTTTGTACATGTGCTGCGCTTGGCCTCCTAGAGGGGTCTGGAGGACTACTGGCCGGCCTACTCACCAAGTCAGGGTTGGCCCGATGGCCTTTCAGAGCTGTAGAGACTTTGCCAATGATCAGGTCATTCATCTGCTGGGTGGCTTCTGGATTATCTCTGAGGAGGCAATGGAATGGAGTTCTGTCATTCAAACATGTTATGGCTAGAGCTACCTCGTCCTCCTCCTTCCTTCCCCAAAGCAAGACTAGAATACCACAAAACTCTGTCTGTAGTGAAAGGGGGTATAGGTAGTTGTTTCCTTTTCTGTAAAGAGATGCTGACTGAGGGTAGAGCGGCACATACATCAGGGGTCTACACCCCAAGTGGCAGGATATCAGGAGATGTCAGAGTCTTCAAAATCTGAATCCACACTTACCATGGGTCATGTTTTCCTTATCTTTTCTAACTGCCTCCATGTCATTTCCCACATGGTACTTCCTATGACCTTTTGTATTGTATTTTATTTTATTTTTTATTTTTGGGTCTGGTCGTGGGGCCTGTACTCTGGGCCTGGGTGCTGTCACTCAGCTCTTCAGCTCAAGGCTAGCGCTCTACCACTTGAGCCACAGCACCACTTCTGGCTTTTTTCTTTTTGCTTATGTGGTGCTGAGGAATCGAACCCAGGGCCTCAGGCATGCAAGGCAAGCACTCTACCACTGAGCCACCTTCCCAGCCCCCTATGACCCTTTGTAAAAATGTATCTTCTTTAAAAACAAAAAACAAAAATGAGCCAGGCACCAGTGGCTTATGCCTGTAATCCTTGCTACTCAGGAGGCTGAGATCTGAGGATCTCAGTTCAAAACCAGACCAGGCAAGGAAGCCCATGAGACTCTTTATCTTCAATTAACCACCAGAAAACCTGAAGTGGTACCATGGCTCAAGTGGTAGAGCACTCACCTTGAGCTGAAGAGCTTAGGGACAGCGCCCAGGCCTAGAGTTCAAGCCCCATGACTGACCTAAAAAATACACTATCTTGTCACTCTTTGCTTTCAACATAGTTTAATTACACTCTCCTGCAGGGGTTACCACCCTGCTTTATTTTCCCCTACAATCTTGTTTTCTGGAATCACAGTTTTCAGTATTTGCTTACTGATGCCCTCCATATGTAGAATATCAGATACCTGAGGGCAAGGGCTTTGCTTCATTTACCACTGCACCCCCACAGTCTCAAATAGAACCTGGCATTCAACAGACATTTGTTAAATGAGGGACTAAATTTATCCCACATAAATAAAGCTCTGGATGCAATCTCTCATACCTACTAAGTACCATGTAAGTTATTATTTACAAATTATTTCACCCACACTTATCAAATGCCTTTAAGGTACTTATATTCCTCATCTGTTTTCAGATAAGGAGATAGATGAGTAATGTATAAGCTCAGGAGAAATTCAATAATTTTTCCAAGGTACATGCTGCAAAATGTCAGCTCTTGAGCCTGGTTCTTTTTGAGCTTGAGTCAAAGTGTTACTCCTTCAGACCTTCCTTAGCCCTCCCTAGGCTCCATTGACTGCTTTGGTTAAGTATTCTTGAGTCCAAGCGTCCCTAAGTTCTCTTGTCCTCCTTCACCAAGAGCAGAACATCTCCTCAGTACACATCCCTGGAACCAACAAGGTATATGCCAAACAACCATTTACAAGGAAGCCTAGTTGGATAATTGACACCCTCAGTCTTCCCATGATTCCTCTGCGATAAGCAGACAATCACCACCAGACAATCAGAAACATGATTCTCTGCCACACCCTTAGTCCTTCCAGCATCTCCTCTAGTCCTCTCACTAACACCAGGGTGAGTAGGCATTCCTAAGGCCCATAATTGTGGAGGAGGTGCTGACCGAGTTAGGAGGCACATGAGCTGGCGGACCTCCTCCCGCATGGCTGCAGCTCCTCGGCGAAGATTATAATCGAAGAGTTCCCGGATAAGGCCCTGGGAGACAAGGATATGTCGCAGAGCTGGATTGGTGGCCAGGGCCCTGAGGAGTGTGATACAATGCTCGGTGACGGCAGAAGCACAGCCATAGCACTTGGTGGAAGATGTGTGGCCACAGCCCAGGACGGATAAAGCGCGGTACTGGCTGGCAGTGAATGTGGGCTGCACAGAAGTCCGGGATGATTTGGTGGCTGCTTCCCTTTGCTGCAGGTCATATTCCAACAACTCCTTGCGTGAAGCAAAGACTTTCTAAAAATGAAAAGACAAAAATGAAATAGGCAATTAAAATAAGCACAAAGGAATTAGAAAGTTAGTTTCACTTGGAAAACAACTTCATCTGCATTACTAATTCAGTGTTGTCAATAACCTCACAGTTATTTTATCCTCATTTTACAGAAGAGGAAACTGAAGCTTAACAGATGTTTCACAAATTAAGGGAGCCAGTCAAAAATCAAACTCTGATCACAGGCTCATCCTCTCTGTAAAACTGTCTTTTAAAAAAACCAAGGGTCAGAAACTTGGGCATGTTTAGCAAAGATGGGATGCCAGTGATTGGAGGGCTAGGGGGAAGTAATAAACTGGATGTTCTCTTTGGGTGAAGCTTCACCGCCTGTGGCTGGCATCCTATCATGGAGTCAGTGACAGAATGTTCATATGCAGCCCACCTGAGCTGACTGCAGCTCTCTAATCCTCTAGCCTACAAACATAGCGTATTAGAAGAAGGGAATAGAATTTTGGAAACTTTTTTTTTTCTGGAAGCACTAACTGTTCTAAATACAGATTTGTTAATGGACAAGAAAAACATTCTGTCTTACAGCCGAAGTCAGCACTCTGAGAAGTGGCAGAAATTGCAATATGGGAGGCACTATCTGGTATACTTTACCAAAAGGATTGGGAAAATACAACACCAAGAACTGAACTGCAATAGGACTGCTGTGAAAACAGCCATCAATTTTATTTGGAAAAAACACACCTGGATGATTTTGGAGAGTTCATCAAATGAGTTCTTGCAGTCACCACAGTACTCCTGAGCCAACTGCAGGATATAGCGATTTACACTGGCTGATGTGGAACTGATGCCCCCTGCCGTTCCAGAGTCTTCCTGCAACCCAAGAAGTAAACTGTCAGATGTCCCCCTAAGATGACTTCACCTAGGCAGTCTTCTGCTGCTGACACAAAACCCTCCCTCAGTGACCATCCAGTCTGGGAATACCTGTGGCTTTTCTGGAGCTGCCTCATTCACTTTGCAAAGCAGGTTCTCCAGCTGTGGCCTATGTCCCATCAATTGATGATATACTCGGTCAGCTTTGTCCAGAAGTGTGTTTATGTTGGAAACAGCCTACACAGGAAGAGAAAAGGGACCTGTGTGAAGTCTTCTCAGCATGTTGACTTCCCTAAGTAGTCCTAACTGCTGATAACTTCTTGGAACATTTCCTATATGTCACAATGTTGTACACTATCTCCCTCACTCACAATCCTATCAGATAGTATATTAATTTTATATGAATAGAGAGGTATAGAATAAAACAAAATGTAATGCTCAAGAAAAATTTATGCAATGCAAGGTCATAAAAGCATTAAAAAAGACTAACTGGAATACGAACTTTTTGTCCTTCTGAATCCAAAGCTAAATGTTCTGCTATTATCCCAACAGGACCCCTTTTCACAGCTCTTTAGCATCCATCCAGACCTAAGAGATTATGTCCCTGATAAGCTAACATTAAGGAAAAGCCAGCAGCCTCAACTGAAACAGTTATGGAACAAATACAAGGCATGTCATATGACTCCTTTTTGCCTTTCTAAACTGGTGTTATCTGTTCCTAGAGACATGGAGTTTCAGTACCAATCTCCAAACTCATGGGTCCAGTACACATGATGCCATTATTTGCTTCTATACAAAACCTGCTCCCTGGGACCCAATATTTGCTGGATTGAGGAAGACTTGGGCCAGAAGTCAAGACAAAAATGCAACAGCATTGCTTGACGTTCAAATAAACCCACTGTCTAAGTGCATGCCAGATGTGACCATACCTTCTTCCGGTCTTCCTCATTTTCAATGGGATCCACTGCACAGCAAGGCTTGGCGTAGAGCATGAAGTCAAAGCGAGCATATTTACAGAAGCCACAAGCATTGCAGAGGAAAGGATCCTTTTCATCATAGTTGATGGATCTAAAGAACCAAAGTGTTAGATCAGTGGAGCAGCAGCGATTTGGGTTATGTAGGTGACTGAGGAAGAGGCTATACCACATTTATACTCAGGATGCTAGTGCAGGAATTACTGAAGGGATAATAATCAATAACCAATAGATGGAAATGAAGTAATCAACCACACTGGATGAACACAAACACATGTGCAGACACCATTCTTCCAACTCCCTTTCTTCCCCTATTCCTCATCAGACTCTCCACTCATTCCATAATCATCTCACTAGCCAGTATACCAGATAATAAAATTGCCCAAAGGGACAGTTATGGAAAACAGGAAGGGTGTGAGCCCTCCCCTGGGGGACAAGCCGAGGATTACCTGCATTTGTGACACTGGTACACATTCTCTCCACAGTTGCCACACACCCCTGGATTAGCAGGAACAGAGGCACTACAGCGTGGGCACTGCAGGGTCTCTGTGGATGCCTGGTAGTTTTCATAGAAGTCTGCAAACTCAATCATCAGGTTGGAGGCCACAATGGGCAACGGCAGGTCAATCTTCACTTCTGTCTGACCGGGGGTCAGCTGAACTTTCTTCGCTTTGTGCCAGCGGGCTGGTCTAAAAGAGACAGTGTTAGGAGACAAGAGAGCCTACGTGCCTCTCTTTTAACTCTCAGTAATAATAGCCTAATGAGAGGGGGGAAGAAAAGGAAAGAAAAGAAAACAATAGCTCACTGAGGCCCTGGAGGTACCCAAGAGTAGACTGGTGAAAAGCTGCCACAGGATTCTGTGGTACCACTGGACTAACTTTAAATATCCTTAAGTACCTGTGTTCCCCTTTTGTCAGTCAGGCATGACTGGTGTGGCTAAGAGGACATACTGGCTCCTAAGGATATGTTTCTTTGCCCCATTCCAGAACTCAAAGCCAACACCTGGAATGAAGCCTTACAATCCTGCAATCTCACCCCAAGTCTGAAAAGCTCATACTTGTTTTTCAACTCCACGATGGCCTGCACAGTTCGGTTGTTATAATACAGATTGATAGTCCGCACCATCTTGGTCCGTTTTAAGTCCCCAATCTTCACTGTCACTTTGCTGATGGTGTGACTGCCAATCAGCTTCACAACCTGCTGGGTGGTGGTGTATCGTGTGTCCACTTTAATGGAAGACAGCTTGATATACTAGACACAAAGGTACACAAAAACACAGCATTAATACAAGACTAACAGTTCATCAGGGCAATTCATTCTAAGGTAGTGCTGTAGTAGGCAAGAAGCCATACCACTGGTGACCAACCACCTGAGGAAGAACATCTATGTCATAATAACTAATCTCTGGAAATGAGAAGCCAGTGGACCTGTCATGCTAAAGAGATGCTACTTACACAAAATGGCACTTCTGGATTGTTACACACCAGACAGGGATCACTCTCCAGATAATAGCCATCGAACTCCACTAAGCCGGACAAGGTGCTAAGGAAGAAACCAGTTTCAGCATAAAGAAATTTTCATTTTAGGAAATATTGAGCTTCTCAAAGAAGCTAGGACAAAGCCATCTTCAACATCCCTAAAGTAAACCCCATTCTCCCATAAGAACACAAGGGTAGTAAATAATCCCAAAATGCTATACAAGTCACAGGAAGGAAATTTAAATTAAATGACCTCAGATGTTTCATATGTTTGAGCTAACATTCAATGAAATCTTAAATTGTATTTAACTGACTCAGAAGAATCATAATTATATATTAAATCATTGAGCCAGGTATTGGTGGCTCATGCCTGTAATCCTAGCTACTCAAGAGGCCGAAATTTGGAGGATGAAGGTTCAAAGCTAGCCCAAGCAGAAAAGTCCACGAGACTCCATCTGCAAAATAATCAGCAAAAGGCCAGGGCTATAGACATGGCCAAAGTGGTAGAATGCTAGACTAGCAAATGGTGAAGCCAAGTTCAAAGACAAATAATCAATAAAATTACTGTATGATATGTTTAAAATAGTACCAAATTGTATCTTTTTTTTTTTGCCAGTCTTAGGGCTTGAACTCAGGGCCTGCGCACTGTCCCTGAGCTTCTTTTGCTCAAGGCTATGCCCTACCATTTGAGCCACAGCACCACTTCCAGCCTTTTCTATTTATATGGTACTGAGGAATCGAACCCAGGGCTTCATGCATACTAAGCAAGCACTCTACCAACTAAGCCACATTCCCAGCTCAGTAAACTTGTTTTTTAAAGTCATTATTAAATCAGGGAAATAATAAACCATAAATTTAATCAGTGTCCTCTTTCAAGTCTCTGTGATTGTGTTTTTAGTTAAAAAAAGAAGACAGTGTCTGTGAACTTTTTTGTATGGGGCCTGACCTCAGGGCCTGGGTGCTATCCCTGAGGTTCTTTTGCTCAAGGCCAGTGTTCTATCCTTGAACCACAGCTCCATTTCTAAGAATCTCACAGAATTTTTGCTCAGGTTGGCTTCAAACTACAATCCTTAGATCTTAAGCCTTCTGAGTAGCTAGGATTACAGAAATGAGCCATCAATGCCCAGCTTGTGAAGTCATTTTTCTTATTTACATTAAGCCCTCAACACCAGAGACCTTCTGATACTACTGCTTACCCAATCATTAATTCAGTGATTATATTTTGAGTGCCTTCAATGTGCTACGGCCTGGGAGGAGCCAAGGACTGACAAGTTGAAATCAATGTACCTGAAGACCTTTTTAATTCATATGAAAGGACTACTCAATAGGAAATAGCTATTCAAAGTGGTGACTGCACTTCAAATAGTAGGAATCAAAACAAATCTCATTCACCTGTAAATGTTGGAGTTGGGATGGTTGGTGAGAATATGGTTTTGAGTCCGAAGTATCTCAACAGCCTTCTGTGAATACTCCTTCAACTGAAACAGAATTCAGAAAAGAAATGTAATTAAAGCTCAAGTCTTTATTTGTTAAAGACTTTTTGCCTTCAGCTTGTTTCTGTTTTTTTGTTTGTTTGTTTTTGGCCTTCAGCTTTGTGGCTAGAGATTATCCAACAAGCACTGAACTTCTCAGTAGCCAGTCACAAACACAAAGATAGTCCTAATTCCCAAAGGTCTAATGGATTCTATTTTCTTATAAGTCCTCTCAGTCTCAGCAACTGCCACCTTTCAGATCCAATGAAGGAAGACATTATGCTTAAGGAAAGGACATGGAATGATTTGTCTAACTGCAGAAACATATTTTGGACACAAAATCAGGGAGGACTTTCTCTCCCAAGCAACTTTATTGAGCTGCATTTCCTCACCCTACATTTCTATTTCTCTTGGCTAAGCCAAATTCAGATCACATTCCTGTGCTAATTGTGTTGTTTTCATGGTTTACATGAAGGACCTATAACTTTAGAAATACAAAACTAGATATATTCAAAATAGATTCACATATGAGAACCCTACCCATAATGGCTATAATGTTTTAAACTCTCAAGAAAAAATTCAATAAGGCAAGTTAGCATCTATAATAGATCAGTTGTTACCTTCTTCTCTGTCTGTATTGTTTTCAAGGAGAAATATCCCAGTAGATCCACAAACTGGGCAGCCTTACGACCATAAGCTGGGAGTTCTGGCCAAATGGACCACATGAGATCTAACAAGAGCTCCTGTTGAGATTTGCTGGAGTTTCTGTAAGTAAATGTCAGCTCATATTAGCAAGCAGCAGCAAACTAAGGCACCTATATTTATCACCAAGGCCTAGACACAATGTCTAAGCCCCTACAAGTAGGGTGTAGGCTGGAACCCTTTCATGGTAATATGGCCTAGCCTTTTGCTTTCTTCAAGTGGTGATTTAGTCCCATCACCCAACTGTAACTTACAGCATAAAACTGAGCTTTAGATCTGATAAGTTAAACCTGGTCATTTTACAAATTAGTGATGAAATGTCTAGTGCTCAAGGATTCAGGCAGGCAGAAGTACTAATTAATACCGTGACCTAAAGTACGTAACATAAAACCAAAGGGAAACTCCATTATGCACCCTAGTCCCAGACCTGTGGAGATCTGCAAACTGAGCCCTGGAGCTACCTGTAGATGTGCAGCGTCAGGCAGTGGGCCTGCCAGCGCACAGAAGAAGAATTGGACTCCAACAGGAAACAACGCAGAAACTGGATGAGGGTTTCCTTATCAGCAAATTTGTTCAGCTGGTTCACCAGAGCTGTGCACAGCTGGTCCTCCTGGCTACCTGAACTCTCACCTGCAAAATTAGGGCAGGACTGAAGCCTGAAAAGTAACAGGACTCTAAACATTCATACAGTGAGATCAAAGGAGGATATTCTTAGGAGAGGATCACAAAGACTCAATAGCTATTTGCATATGATCATATAAAAGGATGTTTATCGAAATGAACTCCAAGAAATGGAAATGAGGTTTTTTTTAAAAAATTAATTTTTTGTGGGGATTTTTTTTTTTTGCTTTTCCCTTTTTATTGCTATTTGTTATTTCTATACTTTTTGTCTTGTATGTAAGTTTATCTATTTCGGGGAGGAGGAGAGAAGAGGAAGCACAGAAATAGTGGGACAAAAGGTGAACTAATGGAGCAATGATATTCACTAGATACTATGTTGAAAAATGAACTATACAACTTGTAAGGGAGGGGGCTGGGTAGGCAAAAACTGGGAGAAAATGAGGGAAGAGATGATACATGAGGGAAGAGATGATACATTTCAAAAAGAAATGTAATCATTACCTGACCTATGTTACTATAACCACTCTGTACATCTCTTTTACAAAAAAAATAAGTTAAAAATAAAAAAGTGGGCTGGGAAGGTGGCTCAGTGGTAGAGCGCTTGCCTTGCATGCATGAGGCCCTGGGTTCGATTCCTCAGCACCACATAAGCAAAAAGAGAAAAGCCGGAAGTGGCGCTGTGGCTCAGGTGGCAGAGCGCTAGCCTTGAGCTGAAGAGCTGAATAACAGCGCCCAGGCCCAGAGTTCAGGCCCCACAACCAGACCCACACCCCCCCAAAAAAAATAAAAAAATAAAAAAAAAGAAGTCACCTAGGTGTTTAGGGCCAAGTTACCAGATGAAGGGAAGAGAGAATGATGGAGGGAGGAATATGGAGAGGGGGAATTCTATCCCATCTCTAACTGTTTTTACCCTAAATGGTAGAATCTGCAAAACAATTTTCAGTTGTTCACTAGAGAACAAATAGATTGGCCCCAACTGACATATAAATATGTTAATACAAAAAAAGCACAGGACAATATGCCTGTTATAACCCTAGCACCAAAGAAATATAGTTAAGGGGAGAAGAATTTCTTTTCAATAGTTGGCTATCTCAAACAGTAAACTGTAGACAGACTAAGTAACTGCTACAGATAGAGGCTAAGTAATAACTTGAATGCAAAGCACCTCCACTGCTCCCAACCTGCAGATCACCATCTCAAGTCCCCAAGGCCCATGGAACAGAGAAGCTAAGGTAAGGGGTGTGCTGAAAGTTGACATTTTTGGCACACTCCTGGTTGGCTAAGCATCACTTCACCTAACTCTGACAATCACTCTATAGTCTATTATCTATTATTCCATAGAAGCAGCAGCTTGGCTTACTAAAGACTACTATACTTTGCATAAGAAGTCACATAATTGTCAAAGGTGTCACCACAACTGAAAATGACACTACAGAAGCTTGTGGAAAGCCCAGGATAAATGACCTTTTAGAATTTCAGAATAAATGATGTACTCCAAGAGTTAACATATCACCGTGATTAGCACCAAAAAATTACTCTTACTATCTTTTTCTTTTTCCTTTTCTTCTTTTTTGCTCTTTTTCGTGGAAGATTTGGACTGTGTTGCGCCTTGTCCAGAGCTGGAAGCCACAGGAGCAGAGGAGGAAGCGGAACTGGAGGAACCTGTGGAGGCTGCCAGGGCCGCGAGCACTTTGCTGCCACACAGAGCACAGGAGAGCAGCTGCAGCAGCACTGGGGACACACCCTCATCGACCAGGAAACTCACTTGCAGGAGGAAGTACAGGACAGCTGCAAGCAGAGAAGCAGTGATGAGCTATGGGGGACTGAACTACTTACACAATTAACAGAAGGGACTGTGCCACATGACTGCAGCTGCCCTATTCCCACCAGCTTTCTCTCCAAGTTTGCTTTGATAGATGCTACCAGAAAGAAGAAAGATCTCAGTGGATGAAGACAACTGCAGACAGATTCCAGCCTTATTGGAAGGATTCTCTAAACTCTTTGACAACTGTTTTACTGCCACCACCTGGGTCCTGCTCTGTACTCCCAGAGCTCCCAATTTTCACCACCAATCCTTTTCACTTGTTAAGTTACTGTCTTCTTTGCTAGGCAGAGTTCTGTCTCTTTATCTTGCTCATGGCTATATCTCTAGCATCAAGTTAATACTGAACACAGGGCAAGCCTCAATAAATAGCTCTGGGGGAATGAACAAAAAAGAAGAAACACTTACAGTCATCTTTGATGCAGAATTTCTGCCAGTTGATGGTTCGCTGGGCAGCAATCTCTGCACAGGCTTTCAGGTGTTCCATCTGAAAGGGAAGCCAATCACAGCCCAAATATGCACACCTGCTGCCTTAAGTGCCTGTCACCCCGTTTGGGTCCATGAAGTAACCACTGTCTTCAATTCAAGGGATGAATGGCAAATCTGGGAGCAGGGTATGCTCATAAGCATGCCTCACAAAAGCCTATTTCTGTTCCAATCCCCATCACACAGAATGCCTTCAGGTCACTCACTAAGGCAGCAAAGGCAGGTCAGGCCATAAAACAAACTATAGTCCAATTCATTTTTTTTCCTTACTATAAACAACACACAAGATGAACAAGCTAAGAGTTCACACTATCTTCTTTCCAGATGCTCAAATAAAAAGTATTCTAGTTACTCCCCTAAGTTCAAACAGTTTCTCTCTCCTCAGGCAGTAAGAAGTTTTTATATTCCATCACTGCTTTAGTATTCAAGGATAAAAAACAGAGATGCTCAAATTTCAGGTTCAAAAAAAATTGCACACTCAAATTTCAGGTTCATCCTACCCATGATAGTCCAAGATATGAACAAGTGAACTAGTAAGATTATGCCACCCATGTCATTAACTGAGACCACTCAGTGCTGGGAATGAGGAACTGCAGACCCGGAAGCCAAACACAAAGGGACTAGCATGGCTTTGGTGTTGGAGATTTTCTGTGAGATGGAGCGATGACATTCCCTAAGACCCTCATCCAGTTACATACTTGGCTAAGCCTCAGCACCTGCTCCCCTTCCCCTACCATTCCCCAGCCCTCTTACCAGGCTGATGAGTGTGTCGTACTGCAAGGCAGAGCCTGAACTGGCTGTAACCACACTGGCCCGAAGAAATATTCCCTGTTCCTCTAGCAGCTTCTTGATCCCACGCACATGAGAGTCCAAGGTGTGCAAATCCCGGAGTTGTCGGTACTTCTCCTTTGATCCACAGATGAAGAGCAGAAGTTTTCGGACTTGGCGGCGTACAAATGGAGTCTGCTGGATCATCAAGTACTTGATGGATAAAGAATACAGTCAGACAGGTAAAGTGACTCAGCTGTAACAGTATAATCCTAGCTATTTGGGATGTAGAGATTAGGGATCATCATTGAGATCAGCCTGGGTAAAAAAAGTTTGTAAGACTTCATATCAACCAATGGCTAGATGCAGTGGTGCATGTCTGTCATTTCAAACTACAGGAGAAACATGATGGCTGGACACATTGACACACATCACCATTTCTGTGACAAAAGGGAAAATAGGAGGATCATAGTCCAGGCTATTCTGGACATAAAGTGAGACACCATCTCAAAAATAACCAATGCAAAAAGAGTGCAAAGTAGTTCAAGTGACAGAGTATTTGCCTGCCAAGTATAAACCTCAATACTGCATATTAAAAAAAAAAAAGTACAGAATCTGGAATTTATATGTACAAGTTGTAACTCAAGCATCTTAGTTTTTAATACATTGCTATTGGAAACTGGTAAGAACTCAAACAAACCATTCATTCCACAAGGTCTGGTTCTAGGACCCCTACAGACCTCAAAATCTATAGATTTTGAGATACAAAATGGTATAGTGTTTGAATATAATCTACCTACATCCTTTATTTTCAATAATCTCTAGGTTACTTATAATACCTAATACCATATAAATTATTGTAAATAGCTGTTATGGTGTATTCTTTAGGAAATGACAAGAAAATGTCTGTAAATGTTTAGAACATATACATTTAGATTTATCTGCAATTGGTTGAAGCTGTGGATCCAAAATGTTTAGATAACAAGAATCAACTATTTTTGATTCCTTAAAGAAAAAAAGAAGTATGCATATACATAAAAAAAAAAAGAAGGAAAAAAGGGATCATGGTATTTATGCACCACATTCTCAGAAACAGGATACTGGCCTTCATACCAGCTCACAAAATGAAACTAAATGGAGAAAAGTATCCCAAATCTTTTAGGTATCATAGCTAGGGGAAAGGCGGAGTAGTATGGCTCCAGAACTGCAAATGATCATTTGAGATTATTTTTCCCAGAACTGGTATCAAGTAGCTGTGCAGTGCTGTCAGAACTTTAGTCTCACTGGGCACTGGTGGCTCATGCCTGTAATCCTAGCTACTCAGGAGGCTGAGATATGAGGATCGAGGTTCAAAGCCAGCTGGGGAAGCAAAGTCTGTGAGACTCTTATCTCCAATAAGCCACTAGAAAACCGGAAGTGGCACTGTGGCTCAAGCGGTAGAGCTCTTGGCTTGAGTTGTAAGAGCTGAGGGACAGTGTCCAGGCTCAGAGTTCAAGCCCCACGACTGACCAAAAAAAAAAAAAAGAACTATAGTCTCTCAGCTCCAAACCCATATACTCTGCTATGTTATTCTGCATACCTATCCTATTCTGCACTGCTCTTTGCCAGCTGACCAGTGTTAGTGTCTGCCAATGGGGAAGGAAGCTGAAGGTAGAAGCTATGGGCTCATTGCTGTGCTATCTGCAGTTCTAGCAACAACATTCCCCAGGTAGATGCAGTCAGCTCTAACCAGCAGCTTCTTTGGGTGTCCCTGAATCTACATAACACATCCTTTGTGGGCAAAAGAGGTACCAGCAATAGCTCCACTGTAGAGAGCAGCCCAGATCCCCCAGGCCTCACTTTGCCATACAAGGGCTGTGTCACCAGTGTTCCTTTTCTATCTTCATGGGGGTATCTAGCTATTTCATCAGTTCTCTGCACAAAGCCTCTGTGCAGTTCACTAGCATGCCTTCTGTCTTCCTGATAGCCTGTATGACTGAACTTGATCATCACTACCCTGTGAGGCAAACTAGGTGACAGAGTCACAAATTACAGCCAACTGCTGATTAGATCCCTATCTTCTAGCAACAAATGTGTACATCAGGTGCCAGAGGGGTAAAACCACAACCTAAATGAACAAGCAAGGGCTCTACTAGGGGAACACTGAAAGTAGGAAACAAGAGTAACAGCAGCTGTATCCTTTCCTGGAGTAGCACACTTCTCAGGCTTTCACTCACCTCTGAGAGAAAATAGAACCATGAGTGATCAAAGACAGGAGGTGGGATTCGAGAACTGGTGTCAGCGATCTTTTTGATTTGGTATGGCAACCGCAGGACCATCTCTGTGAGCAGCTGAGTATAGGCCTCAAACACATCAGCAGCATGACCCTGAAGAAGAACATCTGTGTGAGAAACTGGGACCTCAATGAGGAAACAGGCTCACCAGGAATCCTATGTATTGGAGTTGGTAAAGAGCACCATTCAAAGCCATTGCTGACTTAAACTCAGAAGACCCAAGACTTAGTTCATGTAATGAACTAAAAATTCTGACACCTAATACGGTGTTGTTTTTCTGCATATACAAAAATCAGATCTATATTGATTCAAAAAAAATCCTGAAATAGTAGTAAGTAAAGATTCCTGACTTTCTGTGAAAATGTATTCCATTCCCTAAATTCAAAACTTTCCTGCGCAGGCAGCATCATATGCTCATTTTTAGAGACAGATATTGAGGTTAAACAGAACTTCTCCATGCTTCATGGCTGGTATGTAAGAACACTGGGTAGACCTGGTTTGTGGGCTCATCCAAACCAGCATAACCAAGGGTTTTCCTTTTATGGCAGCAGGCAGATATGTGACATACATATGAGGACAAGACCCATGCAGCTGAAGTTGCCTTATACAATCTCATCTTTTCTAAGGAGTTTCATGTGGAATGAGATGACTAATTTGCTCACTTCCTGCGTTTACAAAAAGACAGGAATCATAATCTTAGCAGAGTGAGCAATTATTAAAACATGCCAAGATTAAACTCCACCAAGGAACCCAATTTCCTTTTCTGAGGTTCCTCACTCTGAGCTCCTCCAGCTTTATTCTTTGAGGGCTCAGAGTGCAGTGCTTGAGAGGAGTACCAGGACCTCTCTTTTGACTGGGGAAAGACTTTACCTTCACATACTGCCGAAGAAAGAACGGGCTCATATCAGGAGGGGATGAAGTTGTATGGGGTTTCAGCAACTGGCTAGTGGCCACGGGTTCCTCATCATTCTGTTGGTTCTTCCAATACTCCAGCAGTGACTTGAGCACATGCAGGCAATAGTCCACAGCCCCTGAGCTCAGCAGGGCTGCAGCTGTGGCGCTAGAGATGAGGGAAGATGACTAGGAGAAAGAAAATACACACAGAGAAGGCAAGAATGTCCTATGAAATCTGGTTGGGTGGAAAAGGGTAGGAAATGTTCCCACAATGGTCTGAAAACGAACTGTTATATAAGTAAATTATCAGTCTTTTGCATTGAAAATGCTCAACCTCATCTCTACCCACATGCCAGGGAGGTAAGGACTACCTTCTCCTCCCAGAAGGATGGGTTTTTTTCTTTTTCCTTGGGCAACGAGGAAAGAACCTTTCCTCAAGAAGATACTTCTAAGCAGCCTCACTCTCCCAGTAGGACTCCTCCCATAGAACCAGCTTCCAAAGGAGATGGGGTGAGTGATCACATGCATAAAAAGTAGGAGAAAAGCTACTGTAAATAAGACCATTAGAGAGCCTCGCAAATCCCAGCAAACCCCACAGCGCATAAGCTCATTAAGATTGGATGCAGTTCAGCCTCCATTCCACCTTCTCCGCTTTGTGCTAATCTCCTTTCACCACACACTTTGCTTTCTCTCGGCTTTATTTCCATACCTTATAGCAACAGACACTAGGGGAATCCTCTTAGCTACTCTGTGCCTTGCAGAACAGGACCTTGCTTTTCAATAATGGAACTTCCAAACCCTTTAACCTCTCCATTGGAGGGATTGTTGGTAAAGACTTGGGTTTGGAAGGGATTCTAACAAAGGGGGAAGTTCTGCTCTTGAAGAGACGGCAGCTTAGACTATTACTCCCTTACTCCCCTTGGGCAACAGAGGTCTTATGCTCACACAGGACTGTCACCTCTGCCCTCCTCTCTTCTTACCTATCCCCAAACCCATAAGCTCAAAGCAAAAATACCTCACATATGGAAGACTTGGATCCAGACTTCGTGCGGGACATGAAGACACTAAGAAGCCTCATCACTACCAAATGGACTTCATTCAAGGCACTGCGCTCATTCTTCTTGGACACATCCTGCAGGCAGAAACAGAGCTCAGACTTCTACACTTCCTTTAAGCTTGAGGCACCCTCTGAACACGACTTCCTCAAACTTACCTGTACTATAAGTGTTTCTCAGGGGAAACCAAAAACAAAAAATGCCAGTGCACATGAACTATACCTGAGCCTGCAATACTCAGAAGGCCACAGTAAAAAGCAAACAACCAATTCAGTGTTTCTACTCCACCACAAAGGTCCATGAGGGCAGAGACTGTCTCATCTGTCATTTGTACTCAGGTCCCAAAGTATGCCTAGGCCAAAGTAGCCACTGAACTCACTGTTGAACCAGCAGAACCCGACGCCTTCAGTAAATGGTACCCTAGAACTAGGTGATGCTTCTCTAAGAAAGGAGTTGGATCCTGAGGAGCTGGGCCAATCCTACCTTGTCATACCTCACAACCCTCCAACTTACCTTTTTATCCATACCCAGTTCAGCAATCAGCTGGGAGAGAAGGTTGTCCAAAGCTCCCTTGTCTTTCTCATCTTCTCCATCCAAATCTGTAGTAAGCATTAGAATGACCTGAAGACAGAAAACATGGAAGCCAATTTGCTAAAGAACTCTGGAAGGAGGTGTACATGAAGACATCTCAATTTTCTGGACTGCTCTGCCAATCACACTGGTAATATGTTCTAAGTTCCAGGTTTTCCCAAGCTAAAGTGTTCAGTCAGAAGAACCAATTTATAATATATGCCATTCCCAGCAGCAATGAGAGGGTTTTGCAAGAATTTTGCAAAATTAACTGACTAACCTACATTATATCCAGCCAAAGTAGCTTGAGATAGAGTAGTGTGCTCAGGTTAGAATCAAAGAACAATTTAACCTTTAAGGAAGAGAACTAGTCTAGGAATATCAACTTGAACATACTCTAATATTTAAGAAGTAGAGAGACAGTATACAATGAAGTCTCAGGAGTAAGCTTTTGCTTCTGCCTCTGTCAATACCAAGCTGGATTGCCTTCAGCATTTATAAATAATTCTCTGACCCTCAGCCTTCATCAGTAACCTGAAAGGCTGTAGCTTACAGCCTTTGGTTACTTAACACTAAGTCTTCTGAGTCATTGGAAAAAGATAACACACTGCTTAAGGATGGCCCAAGTGTAATGTAGCAGACACAGGAGATCAAGGATACCTGCATGTATGGGATGGCCCGGACACCTCCAACATTTCGTAACTGGGGCAAGGTCTGCAGCAACCTCTCCAACAGCATCAGGCGCACCATGTGCAGCCTAAATGGCCAAGGAAAATATACAACATGAATCATTATATAAACAAGAGCCAGCTATTATTCTTTCTTCCTGTACCAAAATAAGTAAGACCTGAATAATCCTAACATTAGAAAGATATTAAAGCCAGGCACCAGTGACTCATGCCTATAATTCTAGCTACTCAGCAGGCTGAGATCTGAGGAGCGTGGTTCAAAGCCAGCCCAGGCAGAAAAGTCTGTGAGATTCTTATCTCCAATTAGCCACCAGAAAACTGGAAGTAGAACTGTGGCCCAAGTGGTAGAGTGCTCGCTCACCTTGATCAGAAGAGCTGAGGGACAGTGCCCAGGTCCAGAGTTCAAGCCCCACCACCAACCAAAATTAATTAATTAATTAATTAAAGTTGGGCGTGGGTGTGGTATGTGTGTAATCCTGGCACTCAAGAGGAGGCTGATGCGGGAAATGGAGAATTTGAGGCTATCCAAGGCTATAAAGCAAGACCCTATCCCTCCCAAAAGTCAAAAAGATGTTGGGCACTGGTAGGCCATGCCTGTAATCCTAGCTACTTAGGAAGCTCAGCTCTGAGGACTTAAATTTGAAGCCAGCCTGGGCAGAAAATTCTGTGACTCTTTTTTTCCAATTAATCACCAAAAAGCAAGAAGTGAGGTGTGGTTCATGTAGCAGAGCACTAACCTTGGGCAAAAAAAAACTTGGGACAGCACTTACACCCTGAGTTCAAGCACCAGGATAGGCACATGCATGTGCAAGCATGCGTGTGTGCACACACATACATCAAAAAGATTTTAAAAAGCTAAACACAAAAGTAGAAAGTTCACTCTATTAAAAGAGCTGAACAAAATTGTTTTTATGTGCAGCTGTTAGTTAAAGGTATTTCCCAAGTAAGGTATCCAGTCACATTTATTCCCAGCCTCTAACTACCAGCTATCCACATGTGGACAGTCCTGCCTCCAGGTGTTTCCTAGATTTCTCCAATGTACAAATTCTCTATTGTACTCAGCTGCTCAGAACCAGACCCTTCCTTTCTCATGTGTCTCAGTCCTCAGGAAGGTCATCACTGCTTTACTGCCATCTTATACCCAGCATCCACTTAGTATGACACTCCATGCCAATACTATCTCCTCTTCCTAGACAAGCTGGCTGGCTATCATGTAACTCATAATCTCATACAGAATAACAACAATGTTGCTGAATGAATTGATGGATTCACTTTTATAATTAGTCAACTGCTTCTGCTTCCCTTTATCTTAGGGATAAAGAAGACACAGGTATATACACATTTAAAATGTGCCATTTTCATGCAATACCGATCCTAGCAAGTATCTAAAATATTTTCAAATTAATAAATGTTTAAATGAAAATAGTTGTTTTTCTGTTATGTTTTATAGTATTGGGGTCTATATTTTCTTACTTCCTCTACCACTTGAGTCACATCCTTGGACCCTTTTTGCTTTAATAGTTTTCCAGTAGGGCCTCAAGTTTTTCCAACAGGCTGAATCTCAATTCTTCTACCTACACCTCCAACATAGCTGGGATTACAAGCCCAGCCTACTAATGAGGGTCTAGTAACTTTCACAGGCTGGCCTCAAAAAGCACAGGTTCTTAATGGAATAATAAATAGTCATCATTCCAAAAAGGACTCAAAGGAATGAGCTAGATCTTCTTCAGAAAATAATACACAACGGCCCACACTGATATCCACAAATAACTAGGCAAACTGCAACCTGTATAGAGATGGCAAGTAAAAGAAAATTGCTCAGGGATGGACAAGGTAACAGGGAGGAAATTCAAGATAACAACAACAGTCCAATAGCTTTATGAACCAAACAAAACAGGCTCCAAGATGAAATAGTGCCCTCATGTTTGGAGAATATACACAAGATAAACATGTACAGAGAAAGAAGTCCCAAAAACCAGCAGAGTAGACAACTAAGATCACACTAGATTACTGGCTTTCCAAATTCTTAAATGCTACTCTTGAAACAAACAAACAAACAAATACAATAAGGAAGTAATTTCCTTTTATTTTTTGTACTCCAAAATCACAATTTTCCTTACTGCCCTATAGTAGAATTTAGTTCTATTATTTAAAAAATTCAGCGGGGCACTGTGATTCAGACCTATAACCCCATTAAGGATGCTGATATCTGAGAATTTTGATGTCATCCCAGGAAGACAATTTCCAAACTTTTATTGCCAATAGCAAAAACCCAGAATTAGAGGCATGGCTAAGGTGGTTGAGAACCAAGAATCTACACATTCAAGTCTATAAGTATTATTCCTAAATTTTTCTCACTCTTCTACTTTTGTAGTCATCTTCTGCTGGTGAACATATTCACTCCACCCATCCAGTATACTACCACAAGTTTTTGAAGTAGATGGATTACGATAACTTTTAATTTCAAAATGTTCCACTTTGGGTATTTCTAGACCTCAATCTACATTTTGCTGTGTTTTGTTTCTCCTTTACTTTCTAACAAACAATGGAACAAAAGACTTTAGGAAGAAAAACTCCTATTTTCGTGACAGTCACTTCACAGTTCCTTAGGGATTTATGTGTCTTCAGAGAAAAACCACTCTTCGTTCTCTCTGTAATTATCTCAATAACTACTCAGATAAGTAAGACAGTTCTAGACCAGTTTATGAGATATACACTATCACAAACAAAAACACGCAGCTAGGTGCCTCTCTATTGTGGCATTGCCATTATTTTAAACAGGCCAGATAATAGAAGGAAATTAGTTAAAAGGCACAAATCAGGATTAGGATTGGCTGAGTTCAAAACCCAGTTCCACCAAAAAAAAGAAAAAAAAACAAAAACAAGGAAAGAAGCGGGGGAGGAAAGGGAGGCACACATCAATTCCCAAAGTAGGCTGGACCTCTATATACTTTGAAGTCAGCTATGGTTGGAAGAAAAGAAAACTGGCAGCTTCAATTGCCTTTATGTCTGAAAAGAACTATTGCTAACGCTCCATTTCCTCTTTCTGGAAGGAGACAGGCAAGCCTGGTGACTGAGAATGGTCCATCCTGACCTGTTGCTGGTATGGACATCTCCTTCAGCTTCCCCTTCTCCTTCTCCCTCGGAGCCGTCTCCCTCCTGGTGCCCAGTGGCAGTACTAATAGCACCAGTGCTTGAGCTGACACTTCCTGGTCCAGCAGGATGCCCTTCCGCTGTGGCATCCCCATATGCACTGCTCCGGCCAGACACTAGAGGGCAATGGTTAAAGAGCAAAAATCAACTCCCAAAGCACTCTGAACCAGCAATGGTTGAAGAAGGTAAATTATAAAACATTGTTTTCTATTCTGTGAAGTTCAATGTAATTCCAGCCCCAGCACACTATGTTAAATCACAAGAACAAACTTAATCCCAGCCACTATCAACTTCTGTCTCGTGGGAACTCCAACTAAGCCCTCATAAAATTTTTTCACAACCGATTTTTATCTACAGACTTATTTCCAAGGTCAAACTGAAATAGCTGTCATGTTTCCTCATGTTAGAGACCCTGACTCATGATTTCAGGATGGCTGCTAGATCAATACAGATCATTAACAGGACATCCCAAGAACACATTTTCTCCCACTATATCTAAGGATAGTGACTTCAATTATACTATATAACTCAGGACCATACATATCAATGCTTTTCTTCCACTGAGCTTTTAAGCTCTATCACTAAACACTTGAAACTCTAAGGTTGAGATAAAATGAACTTCAGATTTGCAGTGAGTCCTTAAGCTCCTCACTGCTAGAAGCAACTCAAGGCCCAGACATTCATTTATCCATCCTATCTTTTCCCAACCCCCTGCCCAAGAAGACCACAATGTCCCAGGCACTTTACCACTGTGCTCGCCAGCCACTGAGTCCACTGCACTGCCCCCGCTCTCCGAGCCCACACTGCCACCATGGTCGGCAGGAGAGGTCCGCAGGGTGGAGCCATCTGTCGCGGCCGTGCTGCCCTCGTCATCAGAAGCTGGAGCTAAGAGAGTAACAAGAGCTGTTACAGGTAAAAACCCCCCCTTGGGGGGAAAGCATCAAACCACAAAGTGCAGAAGATACAGTGCAGTTAATATATCCTATGGTCAGAGGAAAAAAAAGAAAGATTTGCTTTGCCAATTAATCACTAACCGGAACAAACACTACACAAGGTACGTTGCAAACAGTACTTAGACAGAAGTGAAAACCCAGTTTGCTGGGCATTTCGCTGTTACATTGCAGTGCAGAGATTCAGAAATAATAGATGACATGGATGTTGAGTGTTCTAGCTAAATGCTTCATGGTTACCATTGTCTAGGTGTTACTGACACCTACTGAGAGATCTGAAACTAGCCATTGCCATTCAAAGCATAGAACTCAGAATTTTAATGAGATTTACTTTGCAATCAGTTAATTTGTGCTAATGTGAAGAAATCACTTATCATGAGCTCTTGAATCAGCTGTTTGTTTTATCAAATAGTCCAGAAGGGAGCTCACTGGGAAATTTCACACCTCCTAATCATCCTCATCAGATGCTAATAATGAAGCAAGGAAATTCCCCAGAGACAGCCACAGCATCCAGGATCAGGGCTGAGCTGAGACAGGAGGAAAATGCTGGATGAGAGACACAGGGGAGAAAAGCCATGACAGCCAAAAGAGCAAGATACAAACACAACCAGGACAGCACAACAGCTCAAAGCTTGAAATGACAGCAACTAAAGAGACCTCAAAAAGCAACAAGACACGGTAGCAGGTGGGGACAGTCAGTCTTGCCCTTTCCTTATCTATCCATGGTAAAACTCCCAAAAGAAAAGAAATAAAAGATGCATTCTGAACAAGCATATATATATATATATATAAATCAACCCTTAAATTACTTGGGGCTGATTTTCCACTGGATTTCTCAGGTGTGCCATCCTCCTATGCTCCAATTCTCCATTTGGAAATACATTTTATTTCTTAACAGATTAAGAAATAGATTTTATGTAAAGACAAAATGAGATCTGAAGGTTTTCTATGGATTTTAGCTGTCCACACAACCCCAACCTCTCAAGCGCGCAGGTCCCTGATGGTTAGTTAGCCACACTGCCCAAAAATTCTGATGCCTAACCAAGTTTCTTATAGCTTTACTTTTTACTCTTAAATGAAGACAATTTAAAAGATATGAAATCTAAGTCTTATCTCTCTTTTAATATGTCTAAACCATGTTACAACTCTGACAAAGAATACAGAATGCTTCAACATAAGCCTATTGCTAATCAGCCTACAAGCTGTGGACCTCTGTGGATCTCTCTAGGGAAATTAGCTGAAGCCAGGCAGCATGCAAAGTGTGAGGAAGCAGAGCAGTGAGTGCCATTACCAAGCCCCAGAGCTTTCCTTCCACACCCATATGTTTACAGCCATGGCAGAAGCAGGAAGTCCAGATGGCCTGTCAAAGCAGCTGCCCATTATACATATCTCACAGCATTAGAAACAAGGCCTGAGGGTCCTGGGACCCTGAGCCATGCTCCTTGCTGTGGACAGTTACCTGATGCTGTGGTGTCAGAGAGGGTTCCTGCGTCCAGAGAGGAAGAGCTGGGTGCCTGGCCGGACAGTCCCAGGCTCTGCAGGCCCAGGGCACTGCTGCTGCTGCCTGGGAAACAAGTGGAGAGTGAACACAATATCCCCTCCAGACCCTCTCCACAGCGTTGCTTTGGCCACCTGAACACCAGCATATGACCCCTTCCAGCCACGAAGTTAATCAACAGCCATTGCTGTTCACCCACCAAGTTTAGTTACAGAGACAGGAAAGAACACTGGCACAAGGAATAAAAGAGATTCTGGAGGAATTGATCAAAAAGACCAAACTAATATAGAAACTGTGAGATTGGCTCCTTAGCCTGGAATTCCCAAAGCAATCCTTCTCACTCTCCACCTGTACCTCTGAACAGCTCTCACCCAGATCAACCTCTCCCCAAATCTGGGGACAAACTAAGTCAGCTGGGTATCAGTAACTGCCAAACCCTCTTTCCTGTGTAAGGCCAATGGCCACTGTGTTCCCGGCATTGCCTTCTACCTTGTTGGTCCTGCTGCAGGCTCAGGGCAATGGCTAGTTCAACCATGGTCTCATCATCTGCATCAGGTGGGATGTCCAGCATGGGTGGGAAGCCCTCTGCACCTGCCAGCAGGGCCTCCAGGGGAGAGGGGTTGCCATTGTTGACATTTTCAGCTGTCTCCAGGACCATTGACTCAGACTGCAGAGAGAAAGCTCTGTCAATGTCCCATAGCAAATGGTAACTTTAGGAAGCTAAGAGCTGGAGGGGAGTTTAAAGTTCCTTCTCCCCTCTCCTTCTAACAGACTCACCACCATTTCAAAATCGCCATGGTCCACCTCACTCTGTTCCTGGCTTTCCTGGCGGATGTGACCAGCATCGGTGATCCCTGAGGACTGCATTTTCTCATCTGCATCATCGTCATCGTCATCATCCTTGTCTCCTGAGTCAAAGAAACCCTAGTCACCTAAAGTGCTTGCTTTTTCCTCCCTTGACACATGCTATATCACAAAGCAAGCTAAGCACAAGAAAAGCCAGAACCATGGGCTGGGAAGTTGGCTCAGTGGCAGAGTGCTTGCCTCACATGCATGAGGCCCTGGGTTCGATTCCTCAGCACTACATAAGCAGAAAAAAGCTGGAAGTGGCACTGTTGCTCAAGTGGTAGAGTGCTAGCCTTGAGCTGAAGAGCTGAGGGACAGTGCCCAGGTCTAGAGTTCAGCCCCCATGTGACAAAAAAAAAAAAGAAAGAAAGAAAAAAAGAAGCCAGAACCAGCACCTTGTGCTTCTGAGGTACAACTCCAAGGCCCTAAGCCTGGAGGCCTTGTTTTCCTGTTTCTCATGCTTAACAGAATCTAGGAAGATACAGTTAGCAATAACAGCTTGTCCTCCATAAGAATACACTTCTCAGATGATGAATGTAGGTATAATGACATTGACCAACAAAAAATTAAAATAAGGACTGGGAATGTGGTTCAGTGGTAGAGTGCTTGCATAGCATGCACGAAGCCCTGGATTCAATTCCTCGGTACCACATAAATAGAAAAAGCCAGAAGTGGTGCTGTGGCTCAAGTGGTAGAGTACTAGCATTGAGCTAAAGAGGCTCAGGGACAGTGCCCAGGCCCTGAGTTCAAGCCCCAGGACTGACAAAAAATTTTTAAAAAATTTAAAAATTTAAATAAAATAAGCAAACAACTTTGGATTCTGAGGGATTCCCTCCCATAAAACAGGCTCTATAAACTCTCACCAATTCTTAGGAGACTCTGGACATGCCAGAAGAAAACACGATGGAGATATTTTACTGTTAGCAGCTTAGAGTATTGCAATTTTCTCCAAAGGAGCTAGATCAGTGAACTTCCACACTACATAATCGTTGTAAGAATCAGAAGTGAAATGTGAAACTCTTGATAGATCCTATTAGGAAACATCATTCTCTGTAGGAAGATGGAAGGGCCTTCCTCTGAGGCAAAAGCCCATGAGGGTCCTGACTATTAGAAGAGGATGTAGACCTCGTCTTCCATCGAAGCACTGGAATTTTTTTAAATTTTTTTTATTGTGATTAAGTGATTACATAAATTTCACAAATTCCATAGTATTGTGAGATAGTAATACTTAAAGTCACAAACACATTCTAACCTTCATGAAGCAAATTGTCATTATTGTGGTCTATGAAGTTTGTGAAGTTATGAGCTTTGACAATAGAGCTATTTCTTCTACATTGGGTGATATGTACATTTCTTTCCTTTTGCTTGGCATTAGCTGTTCCCTCTATCCCTCTCATTCTCATCTTCCCATGGCTGCCCTTGAGTTGCTTAGTTCATTTTCATCAATATCCAGTGCAGCTGATGGGTCCCTCTGTTGTACGTTTTCCCCTATTTCCCTCTGATTCTGTGTCTTCCTCCTAGTTGAAGCACTGGATTTAAAGCATTATAAATATGTCCTTTTTAGGAACAGGAAATATTTGTACTGTAGGCTCCTACCAGTGAAGGGAGCCACAAACTATTTTTTTCACTCATGGAAAACTTAAATGTTACTCAAGGAAGAGTATCTCAAAATTACATGTTCATGGAATGGGAATGTGGCTCAGTAGTAGAACGCCTGCCTAGCATGTATGAAGCCTGGAGTTCAATTCCTCAGTACCACAAAAATACAAAAGCTGGAAGTGGTACAGTGGCTCAAGTAGTAGAGTGCTAGCCTTGAGCAAAAGCAGCTCAGTGACAGTGCCTAAGCCTTGAGTTCAAGCCCTATGACTGACCCCCTCCCCCCAAAAAGTTACATGGCCATATATTTAACTTTAGATATTCACTATCACATCAGCCACATGTGCCTACTGAGCACTTTAAATAGGGCTATCAATAGACATGACACCATAATGAAATACACACTGGTTTTCAAAAATAGTACTAGGAAATGCAAAGTGTTTTACTAATAGTTTTTATATTGATTACATGACATATATATATACACATATATATATATATGAAATATTTAACATATTACTAAATTAATTAAATTACTAAACATATTACTAAACGTATTACTAAATTAATTATACCTATTTCTTTTTCTCTGTATAATGTGGCCCTTGACCATCTCCAGGTATATCATGAGTGCAATCTGTGAAATTTGCTAGCAAACACTGTATTTAAAGTTCATTCAGGACTCTGCCCCATTAACAACAAAATATCCTTAATCAAGATTTTTGTGCCAGGAAATGTACTTTTCTCCTAAAACAACAGTTGCATTTTGTGTTTGGTCACTGGGATTTTTCTAACTGTTCTTAGGATATTTTTGCTCTAGTTCTTAGGAAGCTTCAGCTAAATGGATCCATCATGCATGGGTGTGATGCAGATTATCTATCACCTGGTGAAATAGATGCTCTATAGCCAAAGCTTTATATCTATAATACTATTAATGTACCTTTATTTCTCATAGCTTTGGCTTTGTTATTCTGCTTACTATATCAATTTTTTAACATCTTAAATTATTTATGGAATAGTGGATAGATGATAGGTTGATAGGTAGGTAGGTGATAGATAGATAGATAGATAGATAGATAGATAGATAGATAGATAGATAGATAGATAAAGGTTCTAGGGCATTGGTCAATATAAACAACATATCCTGACACAGTGCCTCTTATTCCCCTCTCCTGAACCAGGCTCCCTACCCTCATCCCAGAGTCCAGACTAAACCCAGACCTCAAATTACCCATTGGAGTGTTACTTCGAGGGGAGGAGGGCAATGTTACATGTCTCCGTTTGTTTCTGGGCCTTAGGACTCGAATTAGAGCTTGTTTGCAAGAGAAGCTCACAGCAGGATCCTAAAGTTTAAAAGGAAAACAGTCATGATGAAACATCACTAATTTTTTTTGGGGGGGGGGTTAGGGTTTGAACTTGGCCTGGGCACTGTCCCTGAGCTCTTCAGCTCAAGGCTAGCACTCTACCACTTAAGCCAGAGCCACTCCCAGTTTTCTGGTGATTAATTGGAGATAAGAGTCTCACGGACTTTCCTGCCTGTGCTAGCTTTGAACCTCGTCCTCAGATCTCAGCCTCCTGAGTAGTTAGGATTACAGGCGTGAGCCACCAGCACCCAGCACAAACGTTATTTAGGAAGCCAGCTCTTAACACTTTTCTTCCTTTGCCAGTCCCTAATAAACATCCTGGGATATCAGCAAACCAGCTAACCAAATTAGCAGGTTAAGTTGACTTTATTGCCTATGGCATTTATCAATATTCAAAACAACCCCATCAACCTCCCATTTTATTTAATTAGCTTAGCTAGCTTACTAAAAATTTTATAGACACCCCTTAGCCTGGTGAGAGCCATGTGAGGTTGTGTTATACGTACAGGACACAATAGCATCTGCATGTAGATCTTGGATGCTGTATTGATACAGTCCAGCTCACAAGTACAGTAGCCATGGATAATATCTACCAATGCATTAACGGTAGCTTCAATATGAGTGAGACCTAAATAAAGGCAAGAAAAATAGCTGAAAATCTGTAGGAGAAGCCTCTAGATACTTAAAGGTACAAACTCTTAACCCATATAAAGATCAGTCAAACAAAAATCAGTAACATACAGCACAACAAGCCAACAAAGCACACACAGTAGGAATTGTTATAGCAGTACTGCTTGTGATTTATTTTATTTTCAGTCACAAACTGTACTCAAAACCTGTGGCAGATAGCCTCCTGAATGACAGAAGTTATGCAGCCATGCTCTATCTATGGATATCAAGATAAAGTAAGGAACTGTGAAGAATAGGCCAAGACTAAATGCCCTACTTTCCCTAAACCCTTACCATGTAACAAAACATGATCTTGATATGCCTTCTGAGTTTACTGCTTCAGACACCCTAAGTTATTTTAATTTACCCTTTGCTACTCAGATCTAAACTTAAAGCAGTGTGAGAAGTCAAAACACTAAGGGCAGAAGTGCACTGGAAACAAATTATTCTTCAGGAAAATTCTTAATGTTTGTCTCTGAACTGGCTTTGACCTTTATTCTATCTTTTGAATCAAAATTAAAAAAGAAAAAAAAAATACTAAGCGAGCGCACACGCACACACCCACACACACACACACTCACTCACTCATCAAAGTGCTTCTTTATGTGATAGAAGCAACCCCACATGAAGAAACCCCATTCCCTGCTATACTGTTAATTCCCACAGAGAATAATGCATTGATCTCACAGACTCCTAAGCTGCAATGATTAATTCTGGAGGAACTGGAGAGAACTTCTGTCACTTGCACTAAGCATCCAGTTTCACATGATACCTGGCAGGCAGGCAGGGGCCAGGAAGGCATTCTTGGGTTTGGATGCATGGAGTTTCCAGAAGTGGTTCACAAGCTGCGTGATGAAACTACAGCATTCTCCTTCTGCCTGCTTCTGTGGTTCCTTCCCCTCATCCACTCCTTCTACACAAGGGGGAAAAAAATCATTAACGATGGTAAATCTAAGACAGAATTTAATTTGTTTTAAGGTTAACTCAGGTCAAGGAAGCTTGCCTGCGGAGGGAGTTTCAAGTGGGGCCCCAATCAATATGCCAACTATCCCTAGATTCCAGCAGGCACATCTAGGAAAAAAACAGTCTGGGAAAGGAATATCACAGAAAACATTGAGTGTTAGAATTCAATAGGAAGGGGAGCAAAGAGGATCTTCACAGTAGATTCAAAGAAGCCCGTTCCAACCTTTCAACTGTAAAACCTCAGGGAACAGCTGAGATCTCTCAAGAATGAGTTCAGGATTGTAGTGTTAGAAGGACGAATAGGACAAAGATAGATAACTGTAAAAGCATCAGAAAACTCTATTTGACAATGGCAAAACAGTTTTGGTACTCAGCCAATGTAAGGAGGAGAGGAAACAGGATCAAGCACTGAAAGACGCCACTGTACACATTAATGAAGTGATGGCAAATGAACAGCCTAAAAATACAAAATAACTTAACTGCTTATAAGCACCAGGGCCAATCAAGCTTTACATTTACCCTCAAGACCATAAGACATAGCAAGTTCAAAGACAGATTATATCTGACGTACAGAACACTAAATAAACCTAGGGATGATTAAAAGGATAAGCACTGGAAAAGGAAATTAATTAAAATGGTACAATCCTGATGGCAAAGGCCCTATAAGGTATAAAGAACAGGGAGCAAAATCCCTTCTCAGAACACCAAGTCAGTCAGCAGCCAGCAATAACAGGAAGAGGATGAGATAGGACAAAGAAGGTGGACTGAGCCAATTTCAGGACCACGGCCACAAAGGCCTAGTTCACCTGTTTCCATCTGGGGCAGCTTTGACTCCGTAAAGTGGACAAGGTTGTTAGGACGCATGATGGCAATGGATCGAGCTGTGATGACCAGCCTCTGGAAGACTTCAGGGTCCAAGTCCTTGCCTTCTTTGCTGGATGTGTTGAGACACTGCACAGCTTTGCTCAGCAAGGCCTGATCCTATAAAACAGTATCATCACAGAGGATCAACCACAAGCATGGGCTCAACACTAAAGCAAAGAACAGGGGAAAGCTGGTAGATCATGAGGATTGCTGTCTCCTTTCAAGAGATCACATTATTTACCACCAACTTTCTAACAAATAAATCTCCAAAGCAATCAAACATATTAAACTTCTGAATGCAGAAAGTGTTAGTCTTTAAAAAGTCAAAAGTTCACCTCAGTGTGAACCTGCATGATTTCCAGGGCTGTAGCAGCCCACTCCTCTTATTCCAGCAAATATTCCTTAGCGAGTTTCTACTACTCAAGGATGATGCTCCCAAATGGCCTTTCCTTAGCAATCTGAGAAGGCTAACCTCATGTTTCTCAATTTTACAGGAGAGAGGGTCAAAAGCCAAAGCAGGTGGATCATAGCTTCTCTCAGAGTCCTTCTTCCTCCTGGGTCTAAACCATTATCTATTCCATCTACATAAACCTGCCCAAGTTATCTCCTTTGGCATCTGCAGACTTTCAGAGAGATCTTCTTTCCCAGTTTTCCTCTTCAGAGTCTCCCCAAGAGCTACCACTAATTAACCACCTCACGACAAGTATGCTTACACATGGGCCCAAAGCTGAGGGGTGAGAACAGTGGCAGCCTTTACCTAAGTGACTCCCCACTTCTGTACTCTTTTCCAAGGAGCTACTGCCTACACTCAGCATTCCATTCTCTTTCTTAAGTCTTGCTAATTCTGTTAGGGAAAAAGATGCAAAAGTGGTCCGCTAAGCCCTTTTCTTAGTTTTGATTATGTTCATACATTTCTCAGAGAAACTTTAAACTAGGTTTAATCTCAACACTGTAGGTCCTTCCTCCAGCTCTCTTTGCTAGACCCTTGCTTTACAAACAGAAAGCTAACTGACTCAATTCCCTGTCCGATCTACAACTCCTATTTCTACAGAGAGAACAGTTACCTTGTGGCTGTGATAGGCAGAGCGACTAGTGTGCAGGCTGGCTAAAAGACTCTTGGACTGCTGCTGTACACTAGCAGGTGCTGGCAGGGACAGCAGCAAAGTGGCCAGCTCCTGTGCTGCATTCTTGTTCCTCTCCTGATGCAAAAGATAGCAAGGTTACCACTGATCCCAACAACTCAATAAAGAATGACCTGTCTAGTCTGCCCTTCCCCCTTCATTCCTTCCTTCCTTGGCACCAGGGCTAAGTTATACACCATAGACTGCCAAGAAAAAAAGGGGGTTCAGAAGTTATAATCCCTAAAACACCAGCAAAGAAGTAGGATACACACTCCAACTCCCAGAATAGGTTTTGGGCACCAGCACTCACTCATCCTGCTCTATGACAGGTCTCACTACAGCCCCCCAAAACCAGGACATGAGGCCTAAAGCCAAAGACTTCTCTGGTGCTTCTTTGCAAATCAAGATTAGACCATAAGTGCTCTTCAAATTCAAGGCCTCCAGCCTCTGACAACTTCACTGACTTCCTGCCTCTTCAGAAAAGCTCCCATGTGCTTTGAAGAACTTGCCTTCTCGATGATTGGACCAACGGCAAAGCAGCTTTCCAGGGCTTCTAAAGAACTCACAACCAGCCTGGGGAGACAGAAAACCTGGCTTGAGTACAACAACCGTTCTCTCTGCCTCTTGCTTTAGCCTAAGCAAACTACAGTCGTGAAGACCTTGAGGACAGCTAATGAATGCCAAATACAAAATCAAAGCACAATTAGACCTGCCACAGGCACCATGCATATTGCTGCCTATGTTACAGGCCAGAAGAACTCTGGCTTCTGCTTGGAAATCAACCTGAGGCCATGTTCATAATCCAAAACTCAAAGGGCTTTTCTTCCTTAAAGAGGATAATAAATGTGCTTCCTTCTGCTGCCTGTGGCAGGGATCACTAAGATGGGCTTAACAGTCTTGATGCAGTGGGAAACAAGCTCAGGTGCCCAGAGATCAGTGGGCAAAGGGAGACACAAGGAAAAGCGAGAGCCATCTTCTTATGTTGAAAAGGTTATGATTAACTTTCATGTACAACTTGAAAAAACTGTGTCCAAACATTTGCTGTAAGTTCCTAAATATAGGAGAGCAAACAGACTATAAGTTTTTGGTGCATGCCACTTGCTAGCATTCAAAGGGCAGTATATAAAACATCTTTAGAAAATGGAGTAATTCTCCCTTAGGGAAAAAATAGGAAGCTCAACTATTAAAAAGTACAAGTAACATGCTCCCAGAGCTTACTCCTTTGACATAGCAAAAAGACCAACATCCTGGCAGCTATAGCCCTTACAGAGAAAGGAAAGTATTAAGACAGCAGCTGGCGAGAAAAGGGATGAGGGGCAGAGGAAGGCAATAAAAAACTAAGGAAGAGGAACTGCAGCATAGAACAAAGGTGGACAGAGCAAGGTCTCTAATGGATTATGAAATGGCAGGGCTTTTGCTTGCCCCTCCACCCCTCATCCCCTTCTCATTCACTCCAGAGAGGGCACAATGAGGACTAGGGTAAGGAAGAGAGAGCCAAGAGAGTCTGACACGGCCAACACTAAGGACGCACTCAGTATGCTCCATTTTATACATGGAGAGCTCTGCAGCCATGCAATGACCAGAACAGGAAGAAGCAGGACTCTGAACAGAAGCAAAGCCACACCATTGCATACACTGCTCTCTGACATACACGCATTCGTGCAGAGAAAAGAAAGAGGGCATACTAACCGATCCAGCTTGGTTAGGGACTCAGTTTCAGAACTTGGGAAAGAAGCAAAAACAAATTAAAAAAAAAAAAAAAGAGGAAAAAAATGTGAAGCTCAGAGAAACCTGGAAACATATCCTAAGCAAACCATATATGAAGAGGGTGGGGGAAGCAAGAGAAAGATGTGAAGAGGCTGCTGGTGGGGTGCAGTGGCTCCAAGCACAGTTATTTTTATGACTTACAATGTAAGAAGCTCACAATCTTACATCATGAATTATTGCATCTACCATGACAAACTAGCAGCTACCCAGCACAAAAAAGCCAAGCTTAAGAATGCCACCACAGGGAGATTTAAGGAAACTACACTCTGCTACAAGATGCAGCAGAGGCTCTTGCTGGTAATGTCATTACTACTTGAATAAGTGGCTGCTATAGAGAAAGATGAGAAGATGATGCCATCAACATGGAAGGGAGGAAGCTCTTCTGTTAGGTCAGCAAGGTTGAATCCTAATCTACAATACTTTAAGCACATTCTACTCTGTGATCCTTACTTCGAAGGGTACTTATTGACTTCTGCCCAGGCCAAGGTTCTGGCTTCACATAGCTCTGAACCCACTTTGCAGGCTTTGTCTACACACTAAAGAGACACTAAATGTTGGGTAAGCTGCAAGAAAACGGGACTATCATAGGCTAGACTTGGGGCAATTAGAGAACCAGACTCTTGGACAAAAGGAAGTTCTGGCAGCAAGTTGAAAATGGTGGAAAGTGTGGAAAATAAAGCCAAACCCGCCAGCACTGGTACCTCTCCAAGACAGTGCCACTAGTTGTAGTAGGTGTGGCTGAGTCGCTGTCTACAGTGCCATTACTCTGGTTGAGGTTGGAAGGGCAGATGTTGCTGACAGAGGCAGAAGGGAATTCTTCAGGGGGCTCATCAGGCCAGCCAAATTGCTCCTTAGTCTTGCCATAAATTTTTACAGCATCTATCATGGTGACACCTGCTGGATCCACTGAGGCACCAACTGCAGTAAGCAAAGGAGGCCATTAGGAAGCACATTTCAGAAGTAAAGGGCTCACACCACCTCTCCAAAGCCACAACCAGATCAGCTGAGGCAAGGAACAAATCACATCAATTTTATAGACACAGAGGAATTTTATCTGCCAAGGCACCAACAGCACTTTTGATGTTGAACAAAGAAATAGTTTGAGGGACCAAAAATCTATTTTGTCTCCTACTCAGAAGAGACCCTTAACATCACTGGAAGGGCCTTCTGGTACTGAGGATATGGTATCCCCCACTCCTCAGCCCCAAAGGTTTCTAAGTACTTTTTCTGTGTAAAGTTCACATCCTGCTCATTCACACTATCAATAGGTGACCAAGATAAGCCCTAGAGATTCAAACTCTTAAGAATTATAAATTTTCAAAAGTACAGCAAGGACTTTCTGAACACATCTCAGAGATGTGTGGCCTAAGGGCTCTATGCTTAAAGAAAGCCTGGTGACTTCACAAGTAGGTCTCTCTTCTTGCCTCCCCTCTGCCTGAACATGGAAGCAGAGCACCAGAGATGTTGATCCAACACCACAGAAGTGAATACCTTAACTGAGTTTTACCAAACCATAGCCCCTTTCTTAATTTTTTTTTTTGGGGGGGGGTCCGGTCGTGGGACCTGGGCCTGCGTGCTGTCCCTCAGCTCTTCAGCTCAAGGCTAGCGGTCTACCACTTGAGCCACAGCGTCACTTCCCGCTTTTTTCTTTTTGCTTATGTGGTGCTGAGGAATCAAACCCAGGTCCTCATGCATGCAAGGCAAGCGCTCTACCACTAAGCCACCTTCCTAGCACAGCCCCTTTCTTAAGTTAAGACTTCATCCCTAGGAATATTGGTTCTTTTACATCTCATATGAAGCTCAAAGTTTCCAGATGAAATAGACCACAAAGTTAAGTGTGGAGGTTGAGGAATATAGCACTCAGTGGTTCAGAACACTGGAAGGCCACAGACCAGTAGCTATCAAATCTACAGTCACAAGGAGAAAGACAAGAGGTAAGTGACTCACTAAAGAGGTTCAGCTTCTTATCAGCTTGCAGGGCTTCTTCTCTGGTAAAGGGGAAGTCAAACCAGCGTGACCGACTCAGATTAAGCTGCATAGTTCTGCCAAAAATCTCGATATATGATGGGGCCCGTTCAATTGCCTGGGTCCCGATCTGGATCCGCATGCCTGTCATCACCATAGTGCTGTTGTTGTTACTGATCTCAATGGTGAAGCCACCAGGCTGTCAAGACAAAAAGAGGAACATCAGAAAACCAAAAGAAGTTTCAGTTCAGTCTGAAATCCTTCCTGATATTATTTCAGCTGTACACCTAGAAAGAACATTTTTCTTTTAGCTCCTGACTTTCTTGCTCCCAAGGAGTTCAAGAAAATATGCAGGGAAGGATTCCTTTCTATGGCAGACATCCTTCTGCCCAGCATTAGTCACCTCTTTCTGCCCTCTGCAGTACCCCGTGGATAATGGCAGAAACGTAGCCTGATAGGATGCATTTATTCAAGGGCCATTTAATCAGAATAGTGCTTTCTATATTTCCTATATGCGTTCTAAAAGGAGTCATGCCATTCAACCCTTCTGTTTACAAATCTTTCTACTCAGGGATTGAACCCAGACAGGTGCAGTCCTCACCTTGGTGTTAGCCACATACATGCCAGTAGAGTTCAGCCGGTGCTTTATCTGTTGTGCATTGTAGACTTGCAGGAGATCATTACCACCGAACTCCACATCTGTCAGCTGCTGGTTGTGTTCAAAGAAGTCAATGGGGAAGGTCACCTGGCTAGATGTGCGGGTTGCTATGAAGAAGAATATCAAACTGTCAGAGATCATGGTTGTCTGAAGTTTCTGGCACCTCTGCCTCTACTCTGAGGACTGCCCAGACAGCCCACACTCACATATTACTCCTCCTAGTGGACTCTAGTGTTTGTTTTACACTCACATGTTATCAGCTCCTGAGTGGCCAGATGACTTAGCTAAACAATATCTGGTATTGGTGTTGGGTTCATAGTTCATAAGAATGGGCTCTGTTTGCTTACAACAAACAATAGGAAGTACTAACTCACAGTTCATCTCTCTAGATGAGCTCCAAAATCACCTCAAAAACTATAAAAAATTTAGGATATCATGATCCCCGCAATAATCTTTGCTTAGCCAGTTCACTCCTACTAAACCCAAGCTTTCTCTATCAGCCTATCTACCTAGAATTCTCTATTAGCCAGGATTAAGTCCACCATGGCTCAGAGAGCTATGATGATCTTCACTATTCTGTGGGAAATCAACAACTAAAGGGATCTAGTCTTCAGTCAGATCCATGTTGCAAGCAAGCTTTCCTGAAATGCAGAAAGAAAATACCTCAAACAAGGATGAAGACATCAGACTGGGACACCAAAGAATTGCTGCCCTACAGCCAACAGTCAAAAAGCACTTGCCATGTGGACCCTTGCTTTCAGAAAACTGGGCCAGCTCTCTTATCTCTGACTTTTCCTGAGTATGCAAAGCAGGTCAGCTAGTCTCCTCACAGCCTATGCTATGCTGTCTAGGACACTACGGTGCTCATTCCTGGGGCCTGGAGAGGGCTTACTAATTGTAGCTGTTTTGCGCTTTCGAACAGGCTTCATGATGCTGATTACACTGCTGGGCTGCAAGGACGGCTGGAGCCAGTAAGAAGTGTTCTCCACATTGGCCATGTAAATGCGCAAGCTGCCATCCTCACACAGCAAGATCATGGTTGTCCGCTGTTGCTCATTGCAGGCTGTATGTCTAATAGCAACCATGTCTTGGATCTAGAATGAGCGAACAACAGAGGAGGTCAGTTCTCACACCCAGTGCTCAGAATCAGAGAAAAAGAAGCAGAAAAGCAACTGGCTTATCAGCTAGGTAGGGGTAAAGAGGGTAACAAAAGAAAAGGCATCTAGAAGAAAATATAATTTCTTATTTTTGTTTTGGGGGCTTTTTAATATATAATCTCTCTATGGTACTCAGGTTGGCCTGGAACTCACAACCCTTCTATCACCACCTCCTAGTGCTAGGATTACAGGTGTGCACCACCACACATGACTTGAAAAATCTTTAAAGACCTCTGCTGAAAGACATGAAATAGCTTCATAATTTTAAATGCAGACCAAGCTCATATGAAAGTGATGGGAGAATCTGGCACTGACCTTTGCTTTCGCAGGAAGAGTCTTAATCTCCTGGATTAGAAAAGTGTCTGGTTTCACCATAACAACCAGAGGCACACCTGTTGTTTGCTGCACACAACACACCAAGCCAGGATGGTTCATCACCTCAGACCACTGGCAGAGAGCAGGAGAAGTCTTACTGCCACCATTGGAACTGGAAACAACAAAATTGGCCAGTTAGGGTATTACCACTGGATAGCTCTTCTCTTGACCTATGGGCAACCCTCTAACTAGCTAAGTGACCTCAGAAGAATATCCTTAATCAAGGTCACTTTTACGCTAAGTCATAGGCACATGTAGCACACTTTAACATGTGCCCGCAGGAGGGATCCTCCTAGCACCTCTACTGCTAGGCTGCCATGGTCTAAGGAACAGATGACCCTATGTGCCTTGTGAATTATGCAGGGCCATGGAGTTGCTGATGATCTATAAAGATATCCAAGCATTTCAATCCATGTGCAAACTGGTGTCCACATTTTTTCATTCCAAACCAGGAAATTTCAGACGAAGTGCTCAGATATCCTGATCCTTTCCTCCCTCTTCTCTAAATAAAACTAACTCATGTATGATTATGGAAGTCTCTACTTTGCCCACTCAGGGCCAGCCACCTTCCCCCCAGTACTGACACCATATTCAGTTTCCTCAGAGGTACGTTCCCAAGAAGGAAAACTTCAAGGATATAGTAGGACAAGTGCTGTGAGACACTTCTAAATTTTGGTCATTATTAAAATCAGACTGCTGCCCTCACTATAGATTTTCCTTCTGTGTAACAGCAGCCTGCCCCCAACTACTTCTTACAGACTAGGGTCTCCATAGTGGAGGACAAACTAACCAGGCATCCCAAACTGACAACCCTGGCCTGTATTTAGCAATGAAGGAGGACTGCCAGAGAAAAACATGCTTCACTTGACTTAGCACAGGAAAGCTCTGCTGAACAGGGGCACTTGGAAGGTAGACATTTAGTACTGATTCCCACCTTTTAATGTTGATAGGGAAGAGCTGCACCACCTCCATGCTTGTTCTGCTGATGGTGGCTGCAAAGGATTTTCCCTGACAATAACTGAAAAACAGCATCTGTAACACGTGGGAGTAGTACACAGATACACCACCACCTGCCAGCTGGCTGTTACTATCCTGTGAAAGCAAAGACACACATGCGTATTAATTTCTCTTACTGGTGAAAGGTGACAAGTTTTAAATCATGGTTAGGTAGGTACTCCCACATGCTAAGCATGAGAGCCCTGTGGGCAAACTTTACAGATATCTTGGGAATACAGCAACGTTGAATCAGTTTGGTCATGAAGGACCAAAGATTTTGCTATTAAATAAAAAGTCAGAAGCATCCAAAAAAGAACAGCAACACAGGAATTGTTGTATATGTTCCAACCTTCAGATCTTCATGATTGATTTCCAGTACGTTTGTGACATAGAAGGGTCCTTGCTGGGCACTGCTGGCCTCCTCCATGAGCTGAGTATAAATGTACCCAGCTGAAGACATTATCACAATGATGTTCTTCCCCTCCTCATTGAAAAGGAAGGTAACATCTCTTATCTTCGAACTTGGCAGGAGGAAGTAGAAGGTTGGACTCAAAGCATCCACAGATAGGTCATAAATCTATCATGTGAAAGAAAGAATATGTAAGGGTAATGTGTTTCAGTTCCATCCCCAAAATACCCTGATGAATTCTAATAGGGACATTCATTCTTCAACAAGCACCTACTGATTGTTATGCTTTGTGGTGCACAAAAGATAAACATCTCTTACTCTCTTGTAGGACAGGAGTACACACTAATAAATTCTGTAACAAGTACAGTAAGTGAAATATATTTGGCATAACTAGGGCAGACACAGAATCAATCAGTGGCCTATAAGCAAAGAATACCTACTCGGCAATGTAACAAAAAGCAACCAATGTGCTTTATTTGTTTTGATTGGGTTGTTTTGCAGTACTGGGGGGTTAGAACCCAGGGCACCTTGCCTACTAGGCAGGATCCCTACTGTTCAGCCACATTTCCAGACCTTTTTTTTTTTTTTTGGGAACTCTGGGCCTGGGCGCTGTCCCTCAGCTCTTCAGCTCAAGGCTAGCACTCTACCACTTGAGCCACAGTGCCACTTCTGCCTTTTTCTGCTATGTGGAACTGAGGAATCGAACCCAGGGCCTCATGCATGCAAGGCAAGTACTCTACCACTGAGCCACCTTCCCAGCCCTCCAGATGTTTTTTATTCTGAGTACTTTTGTGTGTGTGTGAATGCTGGTCCTGGAACTTAAACTCAGAGCCTATCCACTTCTGTGCTCAATACTAGTGCTCTATAATTGGACCACAGTTCCATTTCCAACTTTTTGGTGGTTAACTGGAGATAAGAGTCTCACAGACATTGCACAGGCTGGCTCTGAACCACGGTCCTAAGAATTCAGCCACCTGAGTAGCTACAATTAGCATCAAGAGTCACCCGGCTATGCTGGGTATTTTTTAGATAAATTCTTACTTCCTGTTCAGGTACAAATCCCGAGAGTGGTCCACCTATTTAGGTCTATAATCATATCTGGGATGACAGATGGATGCCACTACACTCAGCTTCTTCTGCTGAGATGGAATCTGGCAGACATTTCTGCCTTCTGATTTCAGCCTCCCAAAAAGCTAGACAGAATGTAGGCATAATACCATGCCTGCCTATGGACTAAGAAGTCTCTTGGACTTTTCTATCCAGGTTGCTCCTTGAACAACTATCCTCCCATTCTCAGCCTCCAAAATAGAATTACAGATGGGAACCACCAATGTTAGCTGTTTTATTTTTTAATTTCTGAAAGAAGATAGCACAAAGTAAAGATAATTCTTTAAAAGCCAAACAAGATCATTACAGAGCTAAAATTGTACCTTCACAAAGTCTGCTGTAACAATTGCTAACTCAGTCTGTGAACCAGGTAGCCACACGGCTTTGATGATGAAGTTCCCCGTTGCCAACTGAGGGTGCAACACCAAGTGATCCGAAACTGAACCCGAGCTACTAAAGGTGAGCACATGGCAGTCCTAGGTAGAAGTAAAAGAACACAATGGTTAAAACATCATTTGGACAGTTCAGCTAATTCATGTTAGAGTTTATGTATTCCTTTGCCTTCTCTAATATTCTCTGCCTTCTAGTATTCACACTGTCCAAGGACATATTCAGGTTTCTAAAACACAGATTAGTTACAACACAGAAGCCAACTGGAAGTTAAAAGAAAGATTTCTCTTGCTTTTAAGTTTTCATCAAAAAACTCAGTAAGAAACAATACTGAGACAATGACAGATAAGTAGAATGCAGAGCTTCAAGTAATCACTCCTAAACTATTTACCTTCAAGCCACACACTGCCAGGTAATCTTCCTTGCAGGGATTTCCAGTAAGGCTCAGCACAGTAAAGGGCACAGGGGCAGAAGCCAAGCGGGTCAGAGTCAACTTCCTTTTGCTGGAGTCTGCTTGCTTCAGAAGTGCAGAGAGCTGCAGAACTGTGATCTGCAAAGGAATCACCACCAGTTTATTCTTAACCCTAGTCCCCTTAAGAACAGAGAGCAAGTTACAAAAACCCTTTTAAATAGGGATGTTATCTCATAGTGTCTTCTTGTGTGTTTCTTAGGAACCATCTAGATGAGTTACTACCCTTTATTTTATTTTATTTTATTTTGGGTTCGGTCGTGGGGCCTGAAATCTGGGCCTGGGCGCTGTCCCCACTCCGCTCTTCAGCTCAAGGCTAGCGCTCTACCACTTGAGCCACAGCGCCACTTCCGGCTTTTTTCTTTTTGCTTATGTGGTGCTGAGGAATCGAACTCAGGGCCTCATGCATGCAAGGCAAGCGCTCTACCACTAAGCCACGTTCCCAGCCCCGAGTTACTACCCTGTAGAACAAACACATATATCTTTTGTTTCCTCCCTCTAGAAAGAGCAGAACAAATCACTGATAATCATTTCACACAAGTTAATCCCTATGTATCACTGTTGTTTTACAACATACATGAGATGCTTTTTGAAATTATTAAAAAGCAAAAATTAAGATACCTACACTCTTCCAACTACTCATTCTGTAAAATACAAATGTCCCCATATCCTCAGAGTCAGAGAAGCACTGATGATCACCTGAGGGTTTTTGCTCCTCAGCTTGTGCCTCTAGATGCACCAAACAGGGCGAGTATTTATCCAAATTGTGGATAAATACTGCTCACCGCCTTCTCCTAGGTTGTGAAGGAATGTTTCATGTGGGAATTTACTAATTACACCAGTCTCAAGTGAAAACATTCATGACATGTAGTCCCTAAACATCTGAGATCCAGTGGAAGTTCCCCACAGGAGGCAGATGTGAGCACGATCACCTCTCTGTTCTGTTTAACATTTAAGACAGACATAATGAAAATGAGAGAGAAAAGACTAAAGGACCCACCTTGCCCTTCTCATGGCTGACAGCCAAGTGCTGGCGGCGCCCATGTGGAGAAGACAGAACACACATGGCCACCCGCCTGAGCACGTGGGCGCTGATTAGCTGCCGTATAGTCTGGCCCTGGTCTCCGCTGTAATTCATCCGTACATTCTCAAAGGCACCTTCCTGGGAGCCTAAGGTGGGAACCTAGCACACAGGGGAACATAGAAATTGTAAGTAATAAGGATCACTCAGTCATGTCATATTCATCCAACACTGCACAAGTTAGTCATTCAAAAGCAATCCCAGGGCTGGGAAGGTGGCTCAGAGGTAAAGTGCTTGCCTTGCATGTATGAGGCCTTGGGTTCAGTTCCTCAGCACCACATAAACAGAAAAAGCCGGAAGTGGCACTGTGGCTCAAGTGGTATAGTGCTAGCCTTGAGCTGAAGAGCTGAGGGGCAGCGCCCAGGCCCAGAGTTCAGGCCCCATCACCAGCAAAAAAAAGCAATCCCAACTTCAAACTGTGTGTGGTAAATTTGAGTTGTTTGTTGTTGTTGTTGTTTGTCAGTCATGGGGCTTGAACTCTGGGCCTGAGTACTATCCCTCAGCTCTTCAGCTCAAGACAAGTACACTACCACTTGAGTCACAGCACCAATAATCAGTTTTTACTCTAATAAATTATCGTCAATTTTTTAACAAGTACTACAACATGTTAAAACGTCTTTTCACTTGTAAAATCATGATAGATGGAATTTTTCTTTCAGCAAAATCATCATGATACTAGCTACTCAGGAGGCTGAGATCTGAGAATTGCAGTTAAAGCTAACCTGGGCAGGAAACCCCCTTAGACTCTTATCACCAATAAACTACTCAAAAAGCAGTGACACTGTGGGCTCTAATGCTAGAGCACTTGCCTTCAGCAAAAGAAGCTCAGGGACAGTGCCTAGGCCCAGAGTTGAAGCCCCAGGTCTGGCAAAAAAAAAAAAGATGGGGGGCGGGGATGGGAAGGGGAAACAAAGGAGGTAACAATGCTTGATAAGAACTGTACTCATTACTTTGCCCATGTAATTGTAACCCCTCTGTACGTTATTTTCACAATTAAAAAAAAAAGGTTTAAAAAAAAAAAAGATATATCCCCTTTCAAAAAAAAAAAAGTTCAGAGATGATCTTAGATGGAATTTTTCTCTCACTGATCTAACCTGGCAAAATTCAGTCACAAACTCTATCCAATCCCTCTTCAGTCTTTTTTAGGTTCATCTTCATTATCTATAAATCTTAAGACCACTTCTCTAGAACAGATTGGCTGTTAGTAAAACAGCAAAATTTGGGACGTTTCTTAGCAAATGTTTTTTCTCCAGTAACAACAGCCACCTGTGAGGTGTGATGTCCTTGGGCGCAACGCATGCCTTGAGCCCTCCTCCACTGCCCGCTGCAGTTTCAAGGGTAGATGGGGAAGGGTACCCCGGAAGTGCTATATACAGTTCCCAGCAACTGCTTTGAACATGGATAATGACTAATACCTTATATCTATGTCACATTTAACAACTAAAGGAACATGGTCTTTATCAAGGGCTTTAAGCAAAAGAGAAAAACTCTTTTGCAAACTAGGTGAATCCTAGAAAAGCAGATAGAAAAAAGGGGTTTTCTATTTTTTGTAAAAAATAAATTCCTATGCCAGGTGCCAGTGGCTCCCGTCTATGATCCTAGCTACTCATGAAGCTGAGATCTGAGGATCACAGTTCAAAGCCAGCCCAGGCAGCAAAGTCCACAAGACTCTCATCTCCAATTAACCACCAGAAAACCGAAAGTGGCTCTTGGCTCAAGGGGTCAAGTGCTTGCCTTGAGCTGAAGAACTGAGGGACAGTGCTCAGGCCCAGAGTTCAAGCCCCATGACTGACAAAAAATAAATAAATAAATTCCTGCCAGGTCCTGGTGGCTCACACCTGTAATCCGAGCTAGTCAGGAGGCTGAATCTGAGGATTGTAGTTTGAAGCCAGGAAAAATCCTGGGCAGGAAAAATCCGTGAGACTCATCTCTAACCATTGGAAAACCAGAAATGGCACTGTGGATCAAAGTGAAACAGCGCTAGCCTTCAGCAAAAAAGCTCAGGGACAAAGCCCAAGCCTTGAGTTCAAGCCCAACTGACCAAAAAAAAAAAAAAGTATAATTGCCCCAAAATGGAGGTTTCCACACCTGAAAGATTCATATACTCATATGAACGAAAAAAATAGATTGCCTGGGCGGCTCAAAATGAACCTGGATTCTCTCTTTCAAAGACACACTTGATATGCTGATATGATAGCTTAGGTTCTAAGTTCTAAATGTCTGGAACGCACTTCCAAGTACATTCCTCAGAGGAGGTTGGGTATACTGGTATTTCGATCGGCATGCTGGTTCCTCTGCCCACCAAACTTCATGACCCTGCCACACTCACCATCAGCTGGTCTGTCATCTCAACCACCTTGTCCACTGTATGCAGTTCACCAAGGGCCTGCTGTGCCCGGCTGCTGCTCCCCACAGCCGAAGCCTGTTGAAAGTTGGTCTGAATGGCATCCATGAGGAAATTGAGCATGTCTAACACGAGAGGAGCGAAGGAGAAATTGGCCTAAGAAAAATTGAAATACACAGTGAAAAAAATAAAATAAACCAAAGAGAATAATAATGGGTCCTCCTTATAATCTGGCCAGGAACTCCTTCAGAATCCAGTTTCCTTACTTCCAGATAGATAGTTTCACCATCATCTCATTCTCTCCATAATCCTGGGTCTGACTGTAGTCCATGCTACTCTGCTACTAACTAGAACAAACTTTCTAAACCAAAGGTCCTACAGCAACACCATCATCATTCAAGGCACCTAGCAGATACAGTAACTTCTCTGCCATCCAATAAAGGATAGGAATTTAAGAAAGTAACCACTCAAATCCTCTTCTGCATTCCAGGTAAATGAGCAATTCCAGACAAAATATGTACTATGGTATTACATAATTTTTACCCTCCCACCTGCCCTCATCAATACCCCTATGTTCCTCAGTCAGAAATTCTTTGCTAGAAACTCAAAGCACATGCTAAGAGGTTTCATACTGAGGATCGTCAAACTTAGGAAAAGATAAGTTTGTCAGGGGAGTTTTGTGCATTCTCACACAAACTTGTCAGGTTCTAAACTCTGTCTACTATACTAGGGGCCACAAGTAAGCTTCACCTGGTTCTGTAGCTCCTCTCGGCAACCTTCTACTGTGCGGCACAGGCTACTCTTCTTGGGCTTCTCTTCATCAGTGACCTTTCCATCACTAATGGTGACCTTGGCCTTGTCGGCTGGTGAGGTGCTAGCATGGCGAACCAAACTCTCTGAAACCCTTGGTTCACTCTGAAATGCAGACTCCTTCATGGTGGAGCTCATGCCACTGCTTGGAGTTCTTTTTACCAGTGCCTAGGGATAGAAATGTTATTAAGCCCATGAATTCTTGCCACAGGCTGAGGTTAAATACTGCCTGAGAGCCAGGTGTGGTAGCTCACATTTGTATCCCCAGCACTTTGGAGGCTCATGTAAGAGGATCACAAGGCATTTGTTGTTGTTGTTTCCAACTGGTAGGTTTGAACTCAGGGCCTGGGCATTGTCCATGATCTTTTCACTCAAAGCTAATGCTCTACCACTTTGAGCCATAGCACCACTTCCAGTTTTCTGGTGGCTAATTGGAGATAAGAATCTTACAGGATTTTCTGCCTGGGCTGGCTTGGAACTATAATCCTCACATCTCAACCACCTAACTAGCAGGATTACAAGCACCCAATTGGATCACAAGTTTTAAGAACAGCCTAGGCTATATAGTGAGACCTCTCAAAAAACAAAAAAAGAGAAATACTGCCTAAGAACTTAAGAGAGAAAAGAGAAGCTGGCTAAGTATGCACATGTTTATCCAAAAGACTAAATTCATGGTATTCACCTAATACCTAACTTAGGTGTCCATATATAACAGCAGGCCTTCCTTATCACACCTGAAATGTGGGCATTTCTTAGAAAAGACTGGCTTCAAGATCTTTAAGGAATATGCTGGCTCTAATACTGTAAATAAGGTACATAGGCCAAACTTGTATAGTTCATCAGTAACAGCAGACTGTGTCCCTAGACACTAGTACCATGAAAGGTATGTGGGAATTTTCCACTTTGGCCTAAGTGTGTTCATATCACCAACAAGCTTCTTTTAGAGCTCAGTGAAGATTCCAACGCTCTCACCAAACAGCTTCCATCTTCCTTGGCTCCACAGTCACAGAAGAAGGATCCATACTTGGCATAAGAAATCTCATGGTCCTTGTGGCACACCTTAGCACACACTGTGCACACACCTACTCCATCCACCATTTTGCAGGTATGACAGTGGTACCTAAAAAGAGTAAGGACCAGCCAATAAGCTTAGAAGGGCCAACAAACAAGGCCCAACTAGCCTCTGTGTAAATGGAAGACTCTTACCAATGCTGGTTCATGAATTCTTTCTGTGTGATGGTGAAAGTGCAGAGTTTATTGCAAAGAGAATCTTCATCCTTGAAAGACAGTAAATCTTTTTAATTAGAAATATATCCTTCCAGTTATGTACCCACAAAAACACCTGCTTCAATCCCCAAAGGAGACTCATCAATGATCAACAGAAACATGTCCCAATTGGAAATAGGCTGAAAATATGTTGTAATTTCTGGTGCAAACCTTACGGCTTTGTGATGAAGAAAAAAAAAATCTTAATGCCTACTCTATAAGAAAGCTCCCACCATTCCTATAAAGACTTTATCTCTAACATTCCATCTTGTATGTAAAGCCTCAAGGAGCAGGAAAAGTGACTCTAGATAGAAGAAAGGCATATGATTATTGAAGAGTCCCTCTATCAAGAGATTAGATCACTATGGTTGCAATGTGGGGCCTCGAAAAACAAAAAAGTGTGAGCCTCACAATTGTGTGATCAGAAAGAAAGCAAAGGGCTACAAAGAAACCAAAGACTTACTAGTATGCTAATTAGCCATTACGTGAAAGGTTAACTTAGGGATTACTTACTGAGTCCTCAGCCTGTGAATCTTCCTCTTCCACTGCCAACTCCTCCACCCAGTCTGAGTCTACCTCAATGGCTCGCTCTTCCCCGTCCACTGACAGGTGACTTGGGCCTTGACCATTACTCTGGCTTAGGGCATTTGTGACATCAGCCAAGTAAGACATAATATGGCATGTGCACTCCAAGATTATCACGTGCTATAAGAGAAGACCCAACATAAACTTTAGTTCTCCAGGCTTTATTACATAAGACCTTTTCAATAAAACTCAAGATTAAAGGAACCATGTAAAGACAGACTGCAAAGCAATGTTATTTTAGTTAACTATTTCCCAAACTCTTACTACTGTCTACCTGGAGCTTGTCAGTAAATTGTACTGAATTAGTGTTATGTTCATTCACTCTTAAGTGCAAAAATAAGTATTCACAAAGTCTTACAGCAAAATAGAGTAGAATTGAAATTGGGAGAATGAAGCTCAAAAGGAGACTAAAAGTCTTAAAGAAAAAGCCAGATAATATGAAGAAGCTCTCACTACTATTTTCCCTATCATTAGCATTTTTACCCATTATCAAAAGTAATCAATTATCAGGTTTTACATTATCATGGAAAGGAACATCTTCAGAGATCAAAAGAAAATTTTCCCAGCAAACCACTGCACATTGTACATGTGTGCAAAACGAACCCCCCAAATCCTAGCATCAGACTCTGATTTCTAAGTTTCTTCCTCTGCATTTTGACATTTTAGTGTGACAAGACAATGGATTAAAAAGCCAGAAGCATGGATTGGAAAGATCAACATCGTGAAAATGGCAATACTTCCCAAGGCTATCTTACAAATTCAATGCGATACCTATCAAAATTCCAACCTCATTCTTCAAGGAAATAGAAGAGGCAATCGAAAAATTCATATGGAACAATAAAAGACCCTGAATAACAAAAACGATCCTGAACAGAAAGAACACTGCTGGAGGAATATCAATACCAAATTTCAAACTCTACTATAAAGCCACAGTAATCAAAACAGCTTGGTACTGGCACAAGAACAGACCTCAGGACCAATGGAATAGAACTGAAAACCCAGAAATGAACCTACAGACCTAGAGCCATCTAATCTTCAATAAGGGAGCTAAAAAAAATAGAATGGAAGAAAGACAGCCTCTTCAGTAAATGGTGCTGGAAAAATTGGTTAACTACTTGTAGAAAACTAAAGCTAGATCCTTATATATCACTCTGCACCAGAATCAACTCCAAATGGATCAAAGACCTTGGAGTCAAAGCAGACACTGTGAAAAATTACAGGATGGAATAAGAGAAACCCTAGATCTTGTTGGCACAGGCCAAAACTTTCTTAATAGAGACCCAGAAACACAACAAATCAAAGAAAGAGTGGATAAATGGGATTGCAAGAAATCGCAGAGCTTCTGCATGGCAAAGGACATAGCCAGCAAGATCAATAGAAAGCCTACGGATTGGGAGAAGATCTTCACTAGCCATACAACGGACAAGGGTCTCATATCTAAAATATACCTTGAACTCAAAAAATTAAATCCCCCAACAACAAATCTTCAAAGAAACAACTGCCCAATAAATAAGTGGGCTAAAGATTTAAAGAGAAACTTCTCTGAAGAGGAAAGAAGGATGGTCAATAGACACATGAAGAACTGCTCAACCTCCCTACCCATAAAAGAAATGCAAATCAAAACAACATTGAGATACTACCCCACCCCAGTTAGAATGGCTAAAATCAAGAACTCTAATAACAACAGATGCTGGAGGGGATGTGGACAGAAGGGAACCTTACTGCATTGTTGGTGGGAGTGTAAACTTGTTCAACCACTTTGGAAAGCAGTATGGAGGAGGTTCCTCAAAAGACTCCACACAGAACTCCCCTATGACCCAGCTTTTGGGCATTTACCCAAACGATCACAAACAAGACCACACTAAAGCTACCAGCAGGACTATGTTTATTGCAGCATTATTTACTATAGCTAAGATATGGAACCAACCCAGATTCCCCTCAGTACATGAACAGATCAATAAAATGTATATATACACAATGAAATTCTATGCCTCCATCAGAAAGAATGACATTGCCCCATTTGTTAGGAAATGGAAAGACTTTGAAAAAATTATATTAAGTGAAGTAAGCCAGGCCCAAAGAAACATAGATCCCATGGTTTCCCTTATTTGTAATATCTAGTATATGTCTGAGTCAAACAGAAAAGGTCAGATAAGGTGATGTTAGAGAAATGAACCCTAAGATATATATTCAAATGTTTTGTTTTTCTTTCATGAGATTGTTTCTAACACATTTAAAAGATTATTTCTTTGTTGCTTTGTATGTCCCTCCCCAACAGTATAACCCCTGCTTTCACTGTATTTGATGTCAGTATAATTTGTGGAGGGGAAGGGGAAAAACCAATCGTTTAAATAGGGATATAGGTGGACCCATTGCAACAACGAGATGTACAAAGTTGCTTTGTATGTCCCTCCCCCACAGTATAACCCTTGCTGTCACTGTATTTGATGTCGGTATAATTTGTAGAGGGGAAGGGGAAAAACCAATCGTTTAAATAGGGATACAGGTGGACCCATTGGAACAACGAGATGTACAAATCGTTATGTCGAAAGTGAACTTTCCAACTTTGG